CCGAGAACGTCTCGAAGGGTGACATGATATATTGCTTAGAGGGAACGATATCTCCCAGCAAGATGCGAAGTGGTGCTCCCCGTGCCAGGGGCAGATGGACACTGTCGGCCCGAATGGCTCCATCGACTGTTGCGGCAGAACTGTCGTCGCGGCTCGGGCTGTGGACATATTCCACCTCGCGCCGGCGGTGAGAACGAGGTGAACTAGTTTTCCCTTCGACTGCCATGGAACTGTTCCCGCCATCGTGAGGAGGCCCCAACATCGTGTTTTATGGTGGCAGGCCGCTGTGTCCATCCCAGCCATGCAATACCGTCCGTCCAAGAGAGCGTTGGGCTCGACGACATTCGCCTCAACTGCGTTATGCTGGACGGTTGACCGGCGACGACAGCTTGATCTGTACTGCCGCCCAATAGTCCACTCGATTCTGACGCCAAGGAGAATGGCCAAGATGCGCGCAGCGTGTTGAATGCAAACGAAGTGGCCTGTTGCAGTCACAGACAACATGTTCTTGTTGCAACCAGCACGTCGTTCGTGTGTGTAGCGATCAAATGGAACAAACTAATGATGTCGCGACGTCGAGTGTGCGTGGTCTGTAGAAGTCGGCAGCTAGCCGCACCCGCACCCGCGACACGGTCGCGTGAGTACTGCATAGCGATCCTTAGCTAGAACGATTTAACTATGACAATTGAATCACTTCCAAATTCCCTCTGCGCTATCAACTTCCTACAGTGTGGGTCGCTACATCCAGCGAAACCTCTTCAGTTGGGCGACTGGACATTGCAAACGCGTGCGAGTTGACGGCTGCATGTCGACTGCGGCTCTTCTGTCCAAATCGTACCGCCGCTTCTGGTCGCACCGAGCCAGAGGGAGCCAGCCCAAACGGCGAGCGCGTTCTTTCGAGCCATCTCCAACTCTTCTTGCAGAGAGGTGCACGAAGCCGACAGCGGTCGTGAAAGTTGGCGACATGATCTTCTTCCTTGTAGATTCGCTCATGCGCTCATTGTGGTGAGCCTCTCTGACGACTCATCTCTATTGAATATCCGCCCACATGCACTTGAATCGCAACGTGGCTAGACATGGCCAGTCACTCCACCGTGACTACGTGGATGTCGCGACATATTGGAGGATGACGCGGCGACGCCTTCATTCACGGAATGATATGGTTGCAATTTAGGGGGCGGACAGCTACCCTGTCAAGACAAATGTGCAGGTTCGGGGCGGCGCCCCAATGCTGCCTCGATCTTCAACCGATAGGCATGCTTCACTACAAGCTGTGTCCTCCATTGGTGACAAGTATAGGTGGCAAGGCTAGCGACGATGGCTTCCTCGAAGACACCCTTGTGAAGGCGGCTGTTAGAAGGGTTTTCGACGGTTCATTTCGTTCACGGTGACAGGCGAGTGATCCTATTGTTGTTCCGAGAAGTTTGCCACCGGCACCGGTAGCCTGTCGTTGGGCCAACGACGCGAAAGGTACATATGACCAGCTATGCGTTGGTGGTGGCAACCGTGGCGCAAATCACAACATGAACTTTCACATTGCATCGCTGACATGTAATCGTCGCGTCCTCATCGGGCAGAACAAATACATGGCGAACACTTGGACAATAGTGTGCTAGGTGTTATGTACTGGGTGGATGCTGGAGCGTTCTGCACAGCCGCGAGGCCGTTGCGACTGCATGTGATTCGCAGTAACCGGTTGTCTTCAGGGCCATGCAGCTAGTACTCGTCTGCGTCCCCACGACGTGCGCAGGAGTGAAAGCGGTGTCTAACAATGCAAGAATCTTTAGATGTCGTTGGCCCATATCCAAGCGCCGTGGCACATGTGTGAGTCAAGTGCAAAGATGTCAACACTATTTCCGGCGCATCACACTATTTTGATATTTTCATTTCATGCCATGGACGGCAAACCGCTGTGGTCGGTGGCGCTGGCGGCTGGTGCATTGGGCATAGGCATCGGAGTTGCAGCATCAACGTTCCTGCTTCCAACCGCTCCAGATGAAACAACGAGGCACGACGAGACCATTGCAACGCTACGACGGGATCTCGAGAAGGAGAAGGCGCTGCGAGCGCAAGAACGAAGTGGGCGGACCCATGCCGAGCGCGATGCCAGGTTGCTCGCCCAGAAACAGCTAGACAAGAACGGATACACGTTTGACGCGATTGGAACAGTGTCGTCTTGCTTTCGTGATCGCCGAGGTACGCCACGACAAGGCGCTTTAGTGCCAGGTAGCAAAGCGCGCATCACCTTGCTCCCGAGCATTTCGCCAACGTCGTTGGAGTGCTTGGATCAGTTTAGCCACATGTGGGTTCTCTTTGTCTTTCACGAAAACACCAATCTCGCCAAAGTGAGTACCCACAAAACAACCACGTACCCAGCCAAGATTGCCCCACCTCGGTACGTCTCGACGGGCTGCCTGGTCGGGCTCCCACGGATCTGTGTAGCCTGGGCGGAAAAAAAGTTGGCTTGTTCTCGACGCGCACTCCACACCGACCAAACTCGATCGGACTGACTGTTGTCAAGGTCGACGCGGTATCCGGGTACGGCAATTCAAACGGCCCCGATTGATTCAAACTCGAGTGTTCCAGCCGCTGTGTAGACATCAGTGGGCACGACTTGGTCGACGGCACTCCAGTGCTAGACATCAAGCCGTACGTGCCGTACGACAACGTGCCGTCGTTGGTGTGTCCAGCATGGGTGGCTGACCCACACGACATTGTGCCAAGACCCGTGGCATTCACAACACAAGCCCAAGCCGACCTGGAACTAGCTGTGCCGTCCATGCACTTCTACACGTCGGCAAACGCCCTTCGCGCCACGATTGAGCAGATTCTCGTGCTGGATATTCGTAGCGTCCACCAAAAGCGCGGCCAGGCGTCGGACGCGATGTTTCGCTTTCGTCTCGACCGCCTGGACGTCGAGTTCCAGACGCAAGACAACGTTATCCAAGTCACGCGGTGTTCCGTCGTCGATTTCAATGCGACCGACGCGTCCAACCTGACGGACGATGCCGCAGACGACTCCACCCGCGACGAAGTCGGTACCAACCAACAATAAACGCTACGTTGCACAGCATCCCTACGTTCGCAGTCGAAACATCACGGCCCGCCAATTCGTGGCGAGAAACACACCGGCGCGATGGTGTCGTGCGGCCGCCAAGACGCAGTCCGTGTTTACCATTCTCGTTCGTCGCCAAGCGGTCGCACCGCATGCAGTTGAAAGAAGTCACACACGAATAACTTTACAATCGAACGCTTCGTCGCCGACGTACGTCAGGCTCGATCCATTCACCAGGACCACACAAGCGCACACTAATGTGAAGTGACCCGATGCAATTCTACTCGCTGAACGTATTGCAACGCAGCAATCCTTGTCATGCCAGCAGGCTCGGTGGCGCCAACAAGCGAGAGCGACCCCGCTCGCGTTCTGGACAACTACAACGCGACTGGGCATTTTGTGATTCGAATTACGAGCGGGTGGACCTTCTTCCGCGAGAATCTGGCGCTCGTCACGACTGACTCAATTTCAACACGGCCGAGTAAAACTCGATGAGTTTCGTCTCGTGCGCTGGAAACGATATCGTTGGCGTTGTCGACTTGGTTTCGGACAACTGGACACAGTCGCCCGTGACTGCCACACGCCATGTTTTCATGCAGCGACTGTACCTCTTCGAAGAACTCGACCACTTGCGGCTCGCCCATCATCGCCAAAAGCCCTGCACACAAATGCGGTGTGAGCTCGTCCGCCTTGACCCCGCGACGGCGCAGTGCTACCGTCGTCATGCATGATTTTCTTTAGCAGCTTGTTTGTGATCTTGACGCGCTTGAACGCCACCTGCCTCGTGTGTCAGATCATCCGGAATTTGATGCAACGGGCGTACTTCGGACGGCGCATCTTCCGCAGGGGCGCCTCCGCCTTGAACTCCTGTACGCGATATCGGCAACGTTGTTTTGTCCATTATTGCGTCCACCATCCTGAACGACATCATGCCTGAGCATGGAATTCTTCCTGCGCAAACACAGTTCGCACCGACACAAACGACGCACGAGCTCTTGTACGTTGGGTTCGTCGATGTGGAATGCCAGCAACGGCGGATCCGCTGCAATCTACACCCCACGTCGTTCGAGAAGCGTCGTGCGATCCCTCGATGCAATACCTCGAGAACAATAGCTTGTTCGTCGGGCGTCATGTCGATGGTCGGACAGAATAGGTGAGCTTCGATGAGCTTCTCCACCTACACGAGAAACGTGAGACGTCCCGTCATTTCATTCTCGTTCGGACCGCTCTTTCTAGCTCCATGTCTTGGAATCGCTCCCTGTCGATGTGTGCTGCAGCGACACCAGGTCCTTCGACCCTATCAACGTGCAAAATGAACCACAACTGGAGCACGGAACGTAGTACCGTGGTATGGCGCCCGCTGCAAACGTTGACAAGTTGTCCAGAGGAAGAGCAGTGTTGACCTCAGCACTCGGCGACGGTGCTCTCCTGCTGAGGGTGTTTAGCCAAACATCAACACGCCTGATGGTACTCGGGGGATTGAATGGCTCGAATGCCAGCGTCATGGGTGGCAGCAACTGGCCCGTCTGGCACCGCCTCCAACGGAATATCGACTGGTTGATCTGGCACAAGCAGGGCCATGTCCGACGACGTTTTCAGTGTGTTGACGTCGGCAGTGACGTCAGCACTGGCAATCGCTGCTTGGGATGCGCGGGACGCGTCCTTCTCACTATGCCCAACATACGTGAACATTTTTTTGGCACATGAGACGGCTCGTACGCGGCGGCGGCTTCGGCGATTCGAGTGGCTGGGTCGCGCTCAATGTTGCTGGTTATGCATGCGAGTTAGCACGAACGTCAAGTCGACCAGTGGGGTATACAACTTACTGCACCAGAGCCTCTAGCATGGGTCGTACACCAGGTTGATCGATGTGGAATGCGAGGAACATTGGGTCGACGGCAATCTAAACGCGACGTGAAGGTGGCGTGCCATGTCATCACGATTGTGAAGGAACCTCTAGGACAACCGCTTGATCTTCAGGTGCCATGTCGGCAGTGGGTTGAAGAAGCTGCAATTGCACCAGCTTGTGAACCTCCTCAAACCGTTTGGTGAGTTGGACTTGTCGAACGATTGCCATACCGCGTCCTCGAGCGGCATTTGGTTGTATGGAACCCGATGTGGGTTGGTTGTCGGCGTGAAAAAGTTCTTCAGCTCCGTGTAAAACAGCCGCAGGACAGGGTCGGTGGTCTGGAGGTATATGACCGACGGGTCAATGCTCACTAGCTCCCGACGACGTCATTGTGAGCAGACGAGACTCGCTGGGCAAACACGCACACAACCTTCTCGAAGTGCTTGCAAAATGTTGGGTTCTCCGAGCAAGAGCGCCATTTTCGGGTTCGACAACATCTAGATCGTGCTGTAGGGACGGCAGGCACACGTGACCATATACCTTTTGAACCGTGGTCGCGTCAAAGTGGACTTTCAGAATGAAATCTTCCAACGCCGTATCTTTGTCGACCGCCACGACGTCGTGCTGTTCGCTCATGTATTTTTGTTTGAGCTTTTCAAACAACACGCCTTCCCGTCCACGAAAAGCCCGGACAATCGTCGGCACTATCGACGTCAAGGACGCCCGACGCATGCGCATGAACAAGCTCACCTTCCGATAGCTTGGACGGGTTGTACTTTGCATAGAAGTGCGTGATGTCTCGAACGAAATTCCTGACGTGGTTGTCATGTCGTCGATCCAAACAGGCAAGAGTACCGAGTCGTTTGGCGCATTTTGTCGACCTCGCGCGTCGCCAGCCACATTCGAATCGTCTGTGCAACCAGAAATCGTCATTCGATGCACATTATCGAAACGTACCGATTGAATGCGAATGCACGCATCGGAGCGCACTGCCAGCCGTTGCGATTGCAATGCCAAATACAACGGCTCATTGAAAAACACCATGGACGACCCGACGGCGTATTCACACGAAGATCTACATGGTTCCAATGCGTCAACAAGTCGTTGGCCGTGTTGTTGTACCCTGTCAGCTCGGACAAGGACGACGCAAACGTGTACAAGGCCGCCTCCACTCCCTCGGCGGTCGTAATTCCGCCTACCCCCAACATCACGTCCGTGCCAAGTTTCTTCATCAAAACATACCCTTGAACAACATGTAGTAACTCGAGTGAAATGCCGAAAACGCCAAGCTGTGGCGAAAGACTTGGCTCATGAACGTGACAATGGGAGCGAGGAGTTGGCCTTGAACCTGGGCCTTCAATACGTCCGCATCCAACGAAGTACAGTTCTACAAAACAATGCCATGCATACCCGTTGACTTGTGTGTGTGGCCCGTGAGGTAGGTAGGTACCATTGAATTCGAGAGCCGAGGTCGCAAACAGTGCACAAAACGAGGCCGAGCGCTGTTCAACTTGACCACGATCGATTGGACATGGTCCTTGAACCTATGGCTCTTGAGGCTCGGCGTAGACACATTCCTTTGCCGTACCGATTTGCGGTGGTTTGCCGCTTTGCGTCGTTGGCGGGACGTGGCATCTGCAATGACAGCGCCTACAAATCAATACGTTTGTCCATTCCAGCGCCAGATTTTGTGGTCGATCTGCACCTGGACAAACGGATCGCTAGACGTCCCGACGAGTTGAAGCAACGGCTGCACCATATTCTGGCTGTTTTTGAAGACGAAGTCCGTCGAACTAAATGCAATAAAATCACACGCCTCGTCCGTCGGTTGCGATTGACGTACGTGTACACAACTGTGCTACGATTGTGATGGATACCAAATTCGAGGGGATCTTTTCGAATTGCCAGAGCAGGGTGATCGACATTGCGCGAGTACAGTGCGCGAACAAATCGACTTGGCCACGTTTGTCAGAGATGGAGCGCCCGACACACGTGCATCACCTGTTTTTAACTTGGTTGGGATCATCCTCGTTGCCATGCAACACGGTGGCTTCGTCAAGACATGCCCAAACACCCACAGGACTGGTCATCACTTGCAGACTAGCCCCTAAAACAGGTCACACCTTGCCAAGTGACACACTTGGCCGCTCGCCATCGTACCGTCGGTCGTGTTGAGAACGCTCGACCAATACCGTTCCACGCCTTCAGCAAAGTACAGCGCGCCTTGGACTTCGCCAGCGAAGTCGAGTTCGAACGCAGACAATTTTTCCGTCAAGTAATTGATGCAGAGTTGCTGGCGCACGACGCATTGGGGCGGGCAATCGTGTTGAACAACATACCTCGAACGAATTCGTGCCAACGTCTTCAAACCCAAACACGTCGACCAATGTAATGTCATGCACGTTGTCACTCTAATCCGGTGGCGTGTTGTTAGGACAGACCAGGGCGTCAGCGCATTACCTTGGTCGCCATGCTGTTGCGGTTTAGCAGACCAACCAAAGCATGAAACAAGTTGTCGTAGAGCAGCCTACCGAACGAAGTTTCTGCGTCAACGTGACCGCCATGCAAGGCATTCACCTCGCAAAGCTGTCTCTTGTAACACAGGCTTGGCGGACATGGACTTGCAGCTCGTACACTTCGTCCTTCTTCGCCACGGCGAGTCTACGCCACGATTGAACAACGCCCATCCACCAGGCAACGCACTGTTTCGTGCACAGGACGCGAGCAATATGTGCTGCATCCATCTGGATATATCGACATCAGCCGAGTCGTGCCGCCAGACACACCCTACCGCGAGCAAAGACGCCACAACATCGAGTTCTTGGCTGGTTTTCACGCAAACTCCTGCAACGCCATGAAACCACACGCCCGGCAACGATTTGCGAAACCTGTCGCGACGCCCAAATTGTTGAACATGTCTTCGAACACGATGTTTCCCAAGTACAACACCGCCGCGAGGACGCGGAAGATGGCCGATCGGTCCGTGCCCGACACGCCAACCAAGTCCAAGCAGCGCAAAACTACGCAACGTTGCAGCCGTCGATGGGCACGAGTGAATCAATCGAAAAAATACCTCGATTCCACCGCACGCGATCTTCATCCGCCTTGCTATTGCGTACACTACACGCCGCCATGCATGCCCATCAACATGTGCACGAACGCGATGGCGGCATACTTGGCAGACGCGTGTTTTGTGGGCTTGCCCAAATAGGCAAAGGTCGCTGGCGTGGTGTTCTTCAGGTGGCAGTCTTCGACCAACGCGTCACTGGCTCCGACCAAGAGAGCGTAAAAGATGTGGAAATTGGCATCTACGCCGCCACGGTGGCCATTCATGCCGCATCGGGTAGCACGTTTGAATGCCGAGTACCGTCGGGGTTCAAGCTCGTGACACGGGACGTTTCCAAAAAGAAGGGTTGAATCGTGCCCCCTAGACGACAGCATCGCGGCATCAAATCTCAACACGGTCGCTTTCACCCGAGCAAACTCATTGCAGTGAACGGACGGTACGTACCGAGGAGGTGGCCCGTTGTCGAATCGATCGAAAAGGACGTGGACTTGCCAAACCGAGACGAGTTGGGGTTGTGCACCTACACCGCCACCATCGAGACAGGTTTGGCCACGACCGATGCCAGTACCGTTCTCGCGTTCCCAAAGGCTTCGAGGAGAACATTTCCATCCAAGAGCACCGACGTCAACCGAGCGGCCTACGAATATCCACCCGTACACACCATGACGTCGAGCTGACACGCAAGCGGTCCACCGACTTTGGGGTTTTTCACGTAAAATACAAACTGCTCGTCGTCTTCGAGCCGTTGGAGGTCGTCGTAATTCTATCCTTTGGCTGAGGAACGCACAACCGAACGCGACCGCCCCACCCCAAAGAATAACGAGTCCATGTGCAGTTGCGGCAACCTGCGCCATGTTTCAGTCAACGACGTACGTCGTGGAATGTCGTCGTACTGCTTGATGCCTCCGCTTGACGCCAACATGTCGGGCCACCGCTCGGGTGTAATGTCCAAATAAATCGTCTCGTAGTTGACGCTACAACACACAAGTCGTGAAGGGAGTTGTCATGCCAGGCCAACCGTTTGAGCCGCAGCAAATCCATCAAGTGGCTTTCGTCACTTCGCATTTTGATGGTGCTTTTCGTCGAGCTCGTGAACAATTGCACCTGCAACACAAGATAATAAACGTTGGTCACGAACGGTCCTCCACACGACATCGACCCCGTCGTTCGCACATGAGGTGGTTTGACGGCGTGCTGCACCAACGCAATGTACTTGAGCACTTGCTTTGCAAAATCTGTCTTGCCACTGCCCGACTCGCCCATCATGACAATGCATTCGTCATGCTCGTTTTCTTGGACGCTTGACAGGGTGCTATCGACACAGTATTCTTTTACATGAAATGGCACGACATCAACCCCTCGAGACACATACCGCTTTGCCAACGCAAACGGATGAGGGCTGCACACAGCGAGATCGTGGTCGCGGTACCTACAAGCATTCGGGTCATGCCAGGCGGCTGGTGGAGCGGGCTCCATACCACATGACCGTGGCTTCGTCGTAGATCGAGTTGCCCGCCGAGTGGTGTACCAAACGAGGCGCTGGATTTATTGCAATGAACATGTCGCCAACGTTCGTGTAAATGCGGTCCCTCTACGTGTTGCGATCTAGTCCAAGGTGGAGGACTGCCCCTCCAACTCACGTCAAATCTTTCGTGGAGCAGTTGGGACAACTCGTCCACTGTCCACGGCGATTTGGACAATGCCTTGGTCGAGTTCAAAACGTCGTCCGCTTCGTCTCGGTGAATATTCCATGCTCGTTTCACCGTGAGCGCTTCCTGCACGTTGGTGACGTCGAGGCATGGGACGCAGCACGAGAAGATGCAGAGCGCCACGTACTTCTTGGTACAAGTGGACATATTTTGCCATCGTTTTCGACCGCGGCGACGATGCGACAAACGAAGCGTTCAGCGTGTCAAAATACCGTGCCACTTTGACGGGCAAGGGTGCCTAGCCGACGGAATGAAGCACTCGAACGACAGCCACGAGGAGAGATACCGTGCCAAGAGTTGCTGCCTGGCCGGGCCATCGGGACGGACGTCAGCTGATGTATAGGTAAGGATCAACGTACTGGTACATCCGTTCTCGTCGTCGATCGAGGGGACGCCGGTGGCTCCACTGGGGCTTGGTCCTGCTCAAGTTTCGCATGGATGTAGTCCGCATCATGATATCGTCGAACCAAGAGTACGCACCAGCTCGGAATGGGTTGGCGCTGCAATCGAAACGCGGCGAGCTTGTAGCTGGGCTTGGGCATCTTCGTACCTGCCAAAGTTGTTGAGGAATCTCTTCAAAGTATCGTTTGAGCGAACTGATAGCGCAATGCCAGTGCGTCTTTCAGCACTGTGCTTTCTTGGAGACTCATGTTGGCGCCACTTGCTTTTTCATGAGCAAACACAATGCTGCGACAGAGCTCCAAGTACTACGACACGCGTGGTTAGACCACGATGGCGGCGAGAACGATCCACTTGATCTTGGCTCCACTTGAGTGGATCTGCGTCCCATGTCGACTGAGCTAAGGTAACTAGCTGCTGCAACTCGCCTGGGCAATCAGAGTGGCGTCAAGCGCGATGCGGCGACGATGGCTACAAACCCAATTCAATCAAGACGCAAAACGTATCGCGGGGGTTCGAAGCAACTGTGCCAAGAATGGCAGAAGCGCTACTGCAATTTGTCGCGGCGGAAGCTTCCATGATGGACAGCATTCGTTGCGGTGGGGTGACCTGCGTCGTTGCAACTCGACGAATTGCATCAATCTACCACCACCTCCCTCGATCAGTGCCAGTCAAAAGTGTTTGCTCGACGTACCCATTCCGAACGCTCCGCAGAAGTCGATGCAAACATGGTCAACGTATACGCCTTGGTCGAGTTTGCGTCGGAAGTCGTGGCGGCCTTCTTCAAATCGAACCCAAACAACTACGACAAGGCAGTCACGGCCCCAACCTTGTCTCATTGAAACCGACTTGCCTTGTCATTCTTCTTGGTCGGGTGTGGTGCAATGATGTCTGACATCGCCAGTTCGACGGACCCTTTCTGTTTCTTCTTCTTGGCGTTTTTCAAGTACACAAGGTGGCCGTCCACATACAGGATAAAGTACCGCGACTTCACCGTCGCAAACAAGTGCCCCTTCTTCCTTAACCATCCTTCCCGAACAATCTCAGCGTCTTGAATCGAGCTCTGGTGCGATGGAATCGATCCTGTCGACGAAAACGACGACGTCGACCGCCGGCGCAACATGACAGAGATGATGCAGATGACCTTCCTCTTAACAATGGATTTATCTTTATCCGAATTTGTCCCCATTATCCGAATCTGTCCCGATTATCCGAATTTGCCCCATCTATCCGAATTTGTCCCGATTATCCGAGCTTGTCCCGATTTTCAACCGTGGTTATCCGAATTTGTCCCGTTATCCGATATATGAAGTCTGCAACGTGTGGTCAAGCCAAGTGTTGGAAGGTGTACTTGAGGTGGAGGCTGTCCATGAGCGAGTCCTCGACACCGCGGTAGCTCTCAAGCATGTCGTCCACTTGATCGATTTGACTGGGGTCGTGCTCTTGGAAGAAGCGAAGGAGACGTTCACGGTACGGATTTGGTTGCTCATGCGGCACCTGTGACAGCATTTTGACCTCGGGCTGCCCGTTCAACAGCGCAATGTCTGCAGCCGTAATGGTGCTGATCAAGGGAGATGCTGTCGGTTCGATGTCCGCTGACTTTGCCGCGGCGTTGTTGTCGTCCACCATCGCGCGCATTTGCGTCAACAACAACTCGTTCTGCCGCTTCAGGCTCTGGTTCACCATTCGTGCTTCGCATGCCTCGGCCATCGCGACAGCTACCTGTCCATCCGTTTCTCGCTTCAAGTTCCTCAATTCTGTCACCAAAACCTTCTTGTGACTCTTGTACTTGACAATCTGGTGCTCATCTTGTGACTGCCGCGCGCCAGTCGTCATCAGTCTGTACTACCTGTTGGTTCAGCTCGGCAATTTCAAGCGCCCGCTGCTCCGCCTTTTCGTCGTACTCGGTCTTCGCCGCAGCAAGCTCCTACATACGAGACCGTCACTGCCAAACGAGTACGAACTTGCAACGCACGTTGGCGAGGCGCTCGAGGCGGTCGCCAGCACTTCGAACAGGGACATGGTGGTGCAGCGAATACCCCAGCTGCGCGCGAACTCGCAACAGAGTCAGCTCTGCCTGGCCCAGTTCCTTTTCGAGTGCTTGGCGCACATCATCCTTCAAGTGGGGGTCTTTCACCGGTCGGTCTTCCCGGGGCGACGACGGCTTCTCCGAGTACGAGTCAAACTCATCAATCTACGACAGCATCCATTCATTCGAGACGGGGGTCGCAACGATGTTGGAAATCCTCATCGACGCAACGTACCATGGCCCATCGATGCTTTTCCAGAAGCAGCGCGTCTCGCTCGGCCAGCACCGCTGGCCAATTCTGCCGCTCTCGGCACAGTCGCTACGGGCTGATGTCGCAAAGAACGCAGCTACACGTCTTGCATGCACCTCAATTTCGTCATGCTGGGTTTGAAGCTTGACGATTACGTCGTTGAGCGCACCAGCATCGGCTTCCTACTTGCACCATGAACGACAGCAGCGACGGGAGCTCCGGTCGTACGGCTTTCGCTGCGGCGAGCTGCACTCTGGACAGCGCTTGGTCTCGTTCGACTACACCAGCATACGAGATTCATGCTTGGTGTTGCAGCGAGATATGTTTGGGAAATCGAAATCCACCTGCAATTCGCGCCAACGAGTCTTCCAGCCGTTCCTAGCCACACGTTTCCATCTAACGACGAGAACGTTGTGGTCTAACGCACCACGCGTTGCAGCAACTTCATGTTGAGGTCATTGAGCTCTTGAATGAGACTGTTCCCGCACGCGTCGGGTTCTTCCGACGACATGGCAAGTGCCAACGGTGGATGACGGGATCCAAACAACTTGGCGGCATAACTCGCCGTGGCGGACGTCGTTTGCATGAGCCCGTCCATGAGCCACTGTGGCGTGAGTTGTTCCAACGACGGCATGATGGGAAGACGAGGGGTGCCGGCGGTGGTTTTCAGCAGTGGCGACTTTTGCAAGCGGAGGCAGTTGCCGGACGTTGGCCCAGCTTCCATCGCCTTCACCAAGTCTGTTCAATTCCAGCATGTGACGGCACCACCAACCTGATTCAACGCATCTGCCGCCGCGAGCGCCGACTCCATCATGTTCTTGTCCACCACATGCGCCAAGTACAGCAACGACTTGCTAGTGCACACATAACATTCATGAGCTGGATGCCACATGCAAACGCGCGTCGGTACTTTCGAAGCCGAGAGTACGTGTTGTCCCATCGAAGGGTTACAACTCCCGGTCGACTGCACGTGTACATGCCTAGCGCCACGAGTGAGCAACCAAGTGCCAGACTGCATCGGCGCACCTTCAACGGGCTTGGACGTAGTTTGGTATTTCGTCGCTGCATGGAAGATCTCAGTGTACATGGGGAACGGCGTGTGAAACTCAGCGTAAAACTCAATGTCGTAATCCTCGACTTCAAACTTCCACACGAGTGATTGCCCGGCAGAGGTCATTTGGAGCTGGAGTTCGTGCTTGGAGCCGCGCAGGATGTTGACCTGTATTCAACCAACAACCGTGATACTACCAACGACAGGATAGGGGGCTCTGGTACCTTTTCATACTCAAAAGGCTGCAGGATAAAGTCGATGGCGGTCATATGCGCCGCGCCGGCCGTGATTTCTTCGTCCACCAGGGAGCGCACCTCGTCGCTTTCATACACCTTGTCGCCTGAACATCATACATAAGAGACTAGCTATATACCAAACACGGCGTACACTTGAAGTATGCCGTGAGCTCTGCACACAGGACGGCCAGCTTGGCATCGGTTGCGTTCGATGGAAACAAGGGAAAGCTCGGGATGTTGATCGCGCCATGTTTCTTGACGAGGAAGATATGCAGCTTTTCCAACGCTGAATACGGGCGATCGATGCAAACCACTTGGCTTTGATCTGTCAGAGAGCTTACGACGAGCTGTACATTCGTTCCCGAAATCGAGGTCGCGACCACATTCATGCTTGAAATGGTTCAAGATGGCGAAGAATGATTCTTCCGGAGCATTATCCGGATACCGAAATTTCCCGTTACTGCGGTAAAGTCTAAAAGTATTCCAAATAGATTCCAATACGTGACTTTGTGTGCAATTTGGGAAATTATACCAACGTCATCATCAAAAGGAGCTCATTAACGATTGCGTTATGTTTGAATGTTGTATGGAGGGACTCGGTGGGTTTCAATATCCGGACAATCAAAAGATATACACGACGGTCATGGGCAACTATTGCGGCGGGCTCTGGTGCGGCGGCAGCGACGACGACGAGAATGCCTCGAACGAAGACCTAATGCGCCAGTACAAAGGACCATCCAGTGATAGTCTCCTGCGTACTGTGAAGAACCCCGACGTGGGGTCGCTCATCGAGATCGAGCACGAGGCAAAGCAAAACTTCCACGACAAGTTCATATTGGGACGAAAGTTGGGGTCGGGGTCGTTTGCGACGGTGTACGAGTGCGGAGAAATCGCCACCCAAAAAACGTACGCGTGCAAGGTGTACGATCGGCATCAGCTAGACGCCGGGGCACTCGAGTGTGCATTGACCGAACCGTTCTTGCTTCGTCGAATGTATCATCCAGGTACGCACTCGTTGTCTCATGACTTGCCTGACGTGAACAGGCATCGTTCGGTGCCAGGGGTTTTACAAAGAAGACAATATGTACATCTTGGTCATGGAGGAGCTTCGCGGCGGTGACGTGTTTGACAAGTTGCGCGAGATGAAAGACGACATTCACGAGCGCGACGTGTGCCGCCTTGTCAAGATGTTTCTTGAAGCTCTCACGTACATCCATGCGCGGAATATTGTCCATCGCGATTTGAAAGTGCGTCGTCAGTTGATACGAATGGGCTGGACAATGTGTGCGTAGTTGGAGAACCTCATGCTCGACTCGCCGAGCCCGACGTCGTCGACGCTGAAGATTGTCGATTTCGGATTTGCCATCCAACTGCCGCATAAAGAGGCAACGCTGACAGAAGTCCTGGGCACGCCCGGGTACATGGCGCCAGAGGTGATTCAAGGCGGGCCGTACGGCAAGGTGAGCACTGTGCCGTTTGACGGCTCATGGTGACGGCGAGTTGTAGCCTGCCGACGTGTGGAGCGCAGGAGTGATTGTGTACACGCTGTTATGTGGGTACCCTCCATTCCACCACGACCGCATCAAGAACATTCAAACGCTGTTTCGATCGATCTGCTGCGGGTTTTACTTTTTCGATTCGGTGTACTGGAGCGACATTAGCTTGGAAGCCAAGGTACGTCGGGAGGCGAGTCAAGTGTCGCGGCGGAAAGTTACATGATGCCGACAATAGGACCTCGTTTCCAAGATGTTGCGGGTGAATCCTGCTGAACGGTGCGTCCATTATTGACATTCGATTGCCAAGGCGACACGTGCACGCAGGGCGACGGCGGCCGAGTTGTTGCAACATGAGTGGTTTGCCCGCCAGCAACCGCCGCTCCCAGTGTCCCCACGCGGCGCCACAGCAAACACCCTCAAGGCGATCGGCCCCCTCCGATCGTTCAACCGCATTCTCAAAGCCAGAGTGGCCGACCAGCACCGCCATGATTCGGCCCACGACGACACCCAACTCCGTCAGCTCGCCGAGGACAAGATTCAAGCGCTGGAGAAACGTCCAGAATTCCCACCGCCCGTCGACTTGTCCAAGTCGAAGCTGCTTCCTGCAACGCGGTATAACGTGCAATAGGTGAGGTGTGTTTTTCTCGATGGCTCATGTGCCGCCGCCGGTGGCTGCACAATCCGCAGCATGTGGACGTGCGCTAGTGTGAGGTTGAATCAAAACCTGTCGCGGCTGTGTACACACGGGCCACCGCATCTCGTGCATCGACTGGAAGCACCTTGAAATCGTCCACGGACTCCTTCCAGTGCAATGTTGCCATCATCATGCATGGAGAACCCTTTCGATCATGAGAGTTGTTTCACTGAGGAAACGAATTGTGGCTCCGTCCCGGGCGCGCACGTCAGCACACTCTTGGCAATTGTCATGCCATGCGTGTATGTCGACGCCACGCACGACATTGCATGGCTCCGTACAAGAGGACAGCGAAGCCAGTACACACGTTGCCAAGCTCAGCCACAAGTCCAAATCCACAGCCTTTTCAACCACATTGCGTTCTTGACACGCCTTGAGGCCGACGTCATGGTCTCAGTCGTGAGAGGAAATTTGTGCAATATCGTGCTCGTCCGAGTTTGCCAAAGGAAATGATTGCGTGCCATCGACCGTGCTCGAGTAGAGCCCGGTCGACCCCCGACAACTCTTGCTCGAGGCAACAACGACGTGGAAGGAGGCATTTGGGCCACGAGTTTAACATGCGCACGTTGGCCCAGCACGGACGGGTGGGAAACGGTACGACATGGCCCACAATTTCACCCCCTGATGCTTGGTCTCCAATGCGGACAAAGCGGCAGAGCATTTCAAAGCGGAGCTGCGAATCATCAAAACGACCTGCCTCGACAACGAGATCGGCACGGCAGGGGGGAGGGCTCTAGTCACGGACGCTGCCTTTGTCGACATCTTGGACATATGTTGTCGCGACTTTGCGCAGCCACCTGCGTGCGGGGCGTCCTTTGGAATGGCCGCTCCGTGCTCTTCCTGCGCAGTCTCTTTGCTGGACCCGTACGGAGTACGCGGCCCAGGTCCAGTTTGGGCCGATCAGGGGCACGTCGGCGCTTGCTGTGCATCCACTCCCATCGGACGCAGTGTCGGCAATTTTGTCGTCGTGCCGACCACGTCGTATACACAATGCGACACTCCAGTCGATTATCATTCACGATTTGGCTCACAACGTTTTCATCGCCCATGGCGCACTCGGCCACCATCTATCGACAGTGCTCCGTTGTCCCCGACGTCCGATCCACTCGCTGTATATGGGCAGCGTTGCACGTAGCTCCGTGTGCTGCTTGCCTGCATCAGTCTGTACGAACAAATCCGAAACAAGGACCCGACGTGCGCCAACGATTCGATCGAGTTCTGCTGCACTTAGTGGCAGTAGTTGCTTCTTCGGCAAAGCGTCCGGCGCCATCGACAGCGGCCTGTGCATGAAAGTCGGTCGGTCGTACTACATCCTCGACACCAAACTGTGCAAGCAGTTTCTCGTCGGCGAACCCGACGTCGCGGCGGAGTCGTTCGGCCACCCCGTGCACTCGCAGTGCGCGCGTCGACATAACTCTGATGCGTCCGCAAGGATCTCGGGACCGAATCCCCACGCAATGCAGTTGCGTTGTCCTCGCCATGACAACGCGGTCCCGCGCTGCACGAGCGCTTCTGCATGACGACTCTCGGTCGCCGTGTCAACGCAGCAACAGACCAAGTTTACCCAACGTGTCACGACGGGAGGGACCCTTGGTGTTGTAATTATCACGACATGGATTGCAACGGCCACTTCTAAATACTCGCGGGGACTCCGCCGTGCGACGTCCGGTCGCTTTTTTGGAACGTGAGGAGCACGGGCTTGGGTCCGATCTGTAGCAAGTGCATGGCGTTTCGAAAGCCCATTTTGCTAATGTTGTTGTTGTTGATCGAGACGAGGAGGTCGCCGACGTGGACTTTGTTGGGCTGGCGCAAGATCGCGCCTTCCGGTTTGACTTTGGTCACTTCGGGGTAGAAGCTCGAGATGGCTTGTTTGACCACGATGCCCAACGCGCCGTCTTCTTCCTTCCACGTGATGTTGTACAACGAGTCGTCGAGCTTGGGATTCAAACTCATGACACTCAGTCGGCTCAACGCGACGCTGTCCCGCTCGCTGAATCGAACGCCCGTGCTGTCGCCATTGCGCAAGATGTCTCGAACGCTTTCGCGGCTCACGACGCTCGACGAGCTGCTCATGGTCGTGTCGCGATGCGACAACATGCTGTCGTCCACGTCGTCGGGGTCGGCGCGCTGGAACCGAAGCACCACCGGACGCGGACCTTCTTCCAGCAGCGTGATCACGCGTGAAAAGTCAATCTTGTACGTCGATATTTCGTTGATTGCAGTCAAGTAGTCCCCCAGACGGACGTTAAACATGCCCGGGATTTGAGGGTTCCCCCGGCATTTCGACACGCACGGCATGCCGCGCTTCTTGTCCGGCTTGAATCCAAGGCCGAGCGGAATGCTGTCGCGCCACAGCACTTCGTACTCGTCCAACATGAGCGCGGACGACTCGCGCATGCTCTTGTGCGTCCGTTGGAAACGGAGCGACACGGGCTTGGGAACTTCTTGGAGCAGCTTGAGAATGTGCCGAATGTCATTGTTCGCGACCGGTTTCCGGCCCACGGAGAGCAGCACATCCCCTGGACTCACGTCGAAAATGTCGGCACACGTGCTCAATGTCTCATGCACCCGTCGGACAATGGGAAGCCCCGTCGTCTCATCGCTTTCAAAGTAGAGCCCCAACATGCCGCATTCCCACGTAATTTCGTACTCGGATTCTCGGTTGATCTTGGGAATGGTCGAGGCGCGGGACGGCGACGACGACGTGGATTCGGTGGGGGCGCCGCTACCGCTGCCGTCATCGTCCGAGTGGTCGGAATCGCTAAACTCATCGAACGACACCGCTCGAACGACTGTGGGTTTCAAAGGTACGAGGACTTTGGTGACAGGAAGCTGCTCCGTCGAAGTCGGCGGTTTGACTGGGACGGGTGGGGCCACCAACACTGCGGCAGCAGCTTCAGCTGCAGCTTTGTGTCGCGCCTCTTCGGCCAACTGTGCTCGAGCCACCAACTCCGCAGCACGGGCCGCCTTTTCCACGAGAATTTTCCGACGGGAGGCCGCTCGACGCCCAAGAAATCCCCGCGCAACGCGGTGCAGCATGGCCGCGGCGTTCTTGTGTTGGTTAAACCAACGACGGCATGCAAGCATTCGTCCACAGGCTTGGATGGTTGTGGCGGCGCGGGCCTCGCACACCAGCCGCTGGAGAGCTCGTAAGTGTTGTTGGGCGCGCTGCGATCGCGCCCAGCTTTGTATCCGCACCACGGCGCATCGAACGAGTCGGAAGGTACGTCGTGCGAGGAAACCGCGACCGACTCGCTGCAGCGTACGTGACGCGGCCACTTGCAGCGTCACTTGCATGCGATGAAGGTGCTGGTACGCTTCTTGGACCATAAACACCTTTGTGAGCCCCAGTTGAAACGGATGCTTCAGTGCGCCGAGTTCCGCGAGGTTGGATGCCAATGACGCCAGCTGGGTGCCCAAGTCGCCGTTGCCAGTCAGCAGCGGGCGGAATTCCCGTTGGAAAATCTCGTGGGGCATGCGGACGGGGTACCCCGCTCGGGAAATTTTGACAGCTTCGAGGACGCCGCTGCAGCGAAGTTGCTCGAGAACTCGCGACGCGTCAAAGTCGGCGGGGTGCAGTGTGTCGTTTGGCTTGATGCACCGGACAAAATGCGGGACCGTGGAATGCAGCAACTCGAGCAACGACGTGAGTTGGCTCTTGAATTTCATCACAACGGACGATGACACGGCACCGGCACTGCCGTGGCTGCCTTTGCGCAATCCATTCGACGAGTGGCTGTGGGAGTGCTTGCGTTGAAGGGCGTGCGTCGCGACGGGTGCAAGTGGTGATGCAAACAGCGCCTTCACAAACGGCAAGGCGGACCCCATGAGGAGCTCGAGGGCCTCAGGATGGACGCTGTCCTTGTTCTTCTCGCAAAACCCAGACGTGTTATACACGACAGTGCCAGCATAATGGACGACGGCAAACTGGCCGCGACCTTGCTGCAGCTTGGTGCACTTGAACGCGGCATAACTCGCTCCAAACGCATCGTATAACTTTGCCGCCAATTGCGCGTCGTTGCCACGGGGGACGACGCATTGCTCGTCCAGGAGCGAAAACAGTCCAATCGGGCGGCCATCGATGAGCGCGACACACTCGTCGTTGTTTGGAAATGTCACAAACGTCCATGGGATGTTTTCCGCCATGTATTGTGCTTGTTCCATGCCAAACACAAACGAGGCAAAGAGTTGCTGGAGCTTTTCGTTGGCGTAGTTGATGCACAGCTGTTCGAGCGAGTTGACGTCAAAAATCTCAAACCCAAAGATATCCACGACTCCGATGAACCGGTCGGCGGACGCCGCGACCACGGCGGCGTTGATGCGCTCAACAAGGTAATCGAACACGCGCGAGTAGATGGTCTTGGCCACGACGTCCCGCGCTACCGCCGCATGCGCTGCCGTCAACTTGACCTCGACATGGTCCATGCCGGCCTTGATCCGCCGTGTCGTCATGCTTGTTTCCATAGCCGCCATGTCCAGCCCGAGCAACTCGCCCACGATTTCAACAACGCGTGCTTTGTTGGTTGCAAACGTCGAGTGCGTGTTTGGGTGATGGTGCGATGAAAAGGAGATGTTTCCGACGTGCAGGACCGCCGCCACGAGCTGGAGCACGGACGCCTGGTCGTCGGATGACATGCCCAACGTTGTCATGGCGTGTATTGTTTTGCCAAACTGGTCCGCGTCGTTGACGCCGTCGGCTCGGTCGAAGCATCCTCTTTGATTCAAGTACTGGAACGAGTCGACAGGAGCGTCCAGGTGATATGCGACCCGATGGGCGGTGGATGCGCCGCGCAGGAGCTCGTAAAAGATGTGATAATTGCGCTCGCCCTTGGCTTGCGAGATGAGCCGCACGCGTTCGAGGAGGTAGGTTGAGATGGACGCGCCGCGGAGACCTCCCGTCGCAGCGTCAAAACCGAGTCGAATGAACTTGCCAAACCGACTGCTGTTGTTGTTTCGCGTCGTCTTGGCATTGCCGAACGCTTCGAGGATCGGATTCGACTCGAGCACGCGTTGGCGAATGATGCTGGAGTCGTCGTTCGAGCTCACGGGACTCGATGACGACACCGCTGCCAAGTACGTCATGAGGATCTTGGTGGTTTCCGTCTTGCCGGCGCCAGATTCACCGCTTACAAGGATGCTTTGGTTCGGATTGTCATTGTTGACGCGGTCCGTCATGTCTCGGTATGCTTTGTCGGCCACAGAAAAGACGTGTGGCGGCAGTGGTCCGAGCTTTTCGCCACGGACGTTTTGTCGATAGCCGTGATTTATATATTGCTGGACGGTGGCGTCGTCATAGAGATGTGGCAGGGTCTGGAACGGATTCACGGCAACGAGGATCGTGCCTGTTGATGTGTAGATGTCCTGTTTCGCAAATCGGACCTGAAGGGCGTGGAGGATTGCAGGTTCATGCAGGTGAACGAGAGCCGTCAAATCATCAACACCTTCAAGGCGCTGGGCAAGGGGATTGCACACATGGACGTGGGTCGCGACGTCAGAAATGCCTGTGAATGTGATGCTGTCGACATCGCCGTCATCTTCTTTGAGCGCTGTCAGCCGACATGTGACCACGACCCCATCAACTTCATACGCATCAACAACTGCAAGACGCCAATGCAGCCCGTGGAGCACCCACACTTCTGTCCCGACTTCCATCTATCGCGGAGTGTGTCGTCGGCAGCCTGGCCTGATGGCGTAGTGGCGGCGGTGGGAATTACACCCAAAATAATCTCCTTCGAACTTCGAATTGCACGCTGTAACGTCTCGACTTCTGATTGGTCAACGTACATCTATCACGAACCAAATTTGAACTTTGCGCACCTCCTGCCGACCGGCAATGTAACTCGGGGACAAGTGCAATCGATGCAGCTTGTCTGCAAAGGAAGAGAGCATCGGCTCTGGTCAGTGTTATTTCAACTACAGATATCCTTTTCCAAAGCGAGGTCTTCGGCGGGACGTTGTTTGACGACGAAGCGTCGTCCGTTCTCGACAAGCAACGTTTTATCGCCGAGCTGCTCGAATTTGGTGCGCATAATTTGTGGCAAGATTGAAACTGGTGCTTGGAGGTGACCTCCGTTGCCCGACAATGCTAGGGCAGACGTGGAGAAGATGCGGTGGTCCCTGAGACGCCTCTGCGGCACTGTACACGAGACCGCCCCGCTAGTTTGCATGAGAGGTGCCCTCATGCGCGTGGATGGCCGGGATATGTCGTACGCAGAGTTCACGGGTTGTCGGAAGAGCGCCAGTCTCTGATCTGCCCGCCTCTCCATCGTCTCGAAAGCGAATTTCGAAGTGCAATAATAAAACCATGGCATATGAGTTAAATTAAAAAAACTGCAAGGGGAAGAACAAGATCTCATCGGTCCAGTAGATGGCGCAGTAGAGGGCAACGGCGGCGAGGACGCGCCAGACTTCGTACGTCGTCCACGCCTCGTGAAGGATGGTCATGGCATCTACGGCGAGCCGTATGATGGTCTTGGTCTGACGTACCCATGCAGGGGATTTCTGGAAAGTGAGGTGCAGCGGCGACGGATTGTGTTGAGTCAACAGCTTGGTCGCTTCGTCAAACCCCAGGACGGACGTGTCGAAGTGATTGATGTGCACCAATACGTCCCCGACGCGAAGTTCTGGCTGATGCGCGACAAGGCCGTGACTGTGAATGCGCTGAATCTCCAAGCCTCGGTGAAGCATCTTGTCCCACGTCCATTCGACGCCGAGGGACCCTTCACTCCACGCCATGATCACTTGGTCCGGTCCTGCTCGTGGCTGTCGCAACCCGACTTGAAATCTCAGTACCACAGGTCGTGGTGCGTCCGCAACCCGCTGGAGCGCTTCCTCGTACGGGATGTCTGCTGTCAGGACTGCTCCGACCTGTAGAAGAACATCGCTTGGTTGCAGCATGGCTAGGCCCGCATTCTCGTCCGCATCGCCTTCAAACGAATGGACCATCGGCACCATCGCACTTGCGGTCTTGTACGGTGACCATGCAAACGTTGCTGTTTCGACGAGCACTTCAAACTCGGACGACTGCAGGACGGACGACGATCTCTGGCGAACGAGTTGGGCGAGGCCAATGGTCACCATGTCGTTGGAGAAGATTGGCACGGGGCCAGTCCATGGCGCCAGGAGCAATTTCACGGGAGGCGTCATGTCCAGGAGCAGCGACGTCAAGTTGTCCATGGGGCGGATATTGTAGTCGTTGATGGAGAGGAGGCGGTCGCCTTTGTGGACGTTGCCGAGGCCTGGGACGTCGCTGAGGCTGGCGTGAACACGACGGACAACCGGCGTCGAGAAGCTTACGTCAAAGGACAGCCCAAGGACGCCGCCAGTCCACTCCACGACGTACGAAGCATCTCGTTTGATCTGGTAGGAGTTGAGCCGCACCACGTCGTCGACACTGTCGTCGTCGTCGTCGCTGGAGCTCACGCGGTGGCTTAGCATGATGTCATGCGTACACTGGTCGTGGTCGCTGTGGACTTCGGTTTCCGGCTCTTCGACAGAGTGCTTGTCGTCGTGGATATTCTGGTTCGATGTGAGGGCGTGGCGCAGAGCAGCGGCACGAAGGCAGGCTTGGCGTCGACGCACGCTGCTTTGTACCACGCGAGCTGCGGCATGGCGTCGCGTCCAGGCGAGTTGTCTCTCCGACCGCGCGCTCCACTTGGCTCGGTGGGCAACCCACGCTTTCTGAATGAACTGGACAGCCAGTCTGAGTCGCCGAAACTTGTTTCGGGCCGTCCACATGCGCACGTGTGACTGAAGGACGATTATGGCACGGCGTACTTCCAAGAACCACGTGCGAACGAGGTGCAATCTCGCGTAAGCTTGTAGAACGGTGGCGGCGGCGTGTCGACACGTCGTCAACGCCGCTTCGAGGGCCTGCAACGCGCCGTGGGTGAGGAATACAATCGTGCGACCTCGACGGACGTGCGTGGGTCCGCAGGTGGCGACGACGAATGCGTCCAGGGCATGTCCAACTTGTGTCTCAAGATGCAACGTGTTGGTGGATGCGACCGTCATGGACTTGTGGAGAACAGGAGCGTATGTCGAGGCATATGTGGCGTGTGGTAATCGGACGGGGAACCCCGCTCTTGCGATCTGGGCGACAGCGACAAGCCCACAGCAGCGTAGTTGATGGATCACGCGCTTCGAGTCAAACGTACGAGGCGCCATGGCATCGTTGGGCATGATGCATCGAATAAAATGCGACTGCGACGCTTCGAGGGTGGCCAGGAGCGAGCTGAGTTGCATCTTGAACGTCAAGACAACTGTCGCAGACAAGATGTTGCTCGTCGACGACTGTAGCGACGGTCGACCGCCACCGAGACTCGACCGAAAGAACGACGACGGATTCGATCCAGCTCCTGTGAAACTGCGGTTGTTCTTGGTGCTGTGGATCGGTGTTGTGGACGCGGGAAGGTCGTGGGGGTGCCAGTCGTCAAAAAAATCTGCGACAAAGTCGAGGGACGACGTCGTAAGCGCCACGAGCGCGTCATGCGGCACGGAATCTTTGTTCTTGTCGCAGAAACCCCTCGTCGAGTACGTGACAGGGCCGGCGTAATGCACGATCGTGAACGCTCCATGCGCCTGGTCGAGCTTGGACGCGGTGAAGTGCGCCGAGTGCTTGCGGAACGCGTCGTACAATTTGGTCGCGAGTGTGCGGTCCGACCCTTTGGACAAGCGGGACTGTTCGTCCAAGAGGGCAAACAAGCCGCACGGCCGCGCTTCAAAGAGCGCGAGGCAGCCTTCGTTGGCCATGGGCCACTCGCCAAACGGCCACGGCACGCCCTCGCTTTCGTACGTGGCTTGTTCCATGCCAAACACGAACCGACCAAAAAGCTGCTGGAGTTTCTCGTTGGCAAAGTTGATGCACAGCTGCTCGAGGGAGTTCGTGTCGAAGCTTTCAAACCCAAAGATGTCGACAATCCCGATGGCTGACGCGGTTTTGGACAAGTCGGTCGAGGCGTCGGCGGCGTCACGAGCCGGGGCCACGGACGAGTTGATGCGCGTGACCAAGTACTCAAACACGCGGGTGTAGATTGCTTTGGCGAGGGTGTCTCGGGCATGCACAGCGCGCTCGACGCACACCATGGTCACGACCGGCTCGAATCCAGCGATGATTTCACGCGTGCACAAGGCACCTTCAAAGTCGCCACTGCCAATGCCAAGCAACTTGCACACAATCGCGGCAGACGGACACCCGTCGGCGACACGGGAGCCGTCTTGGCCCTTTTTCACAAACTTGACGTTGCCTAAGTGCAAGATGGACGCCACGAGCTGCAGCACATTTGTCTGTTCTTGCGGCGTCAACCCAATCGTTGTCATGGCGTGCAGCGTTCGCTTGTACTGCGCGGCGTCGTCGACGCCATCCGTTCGCGAGTCGCATCCGCTTTGATGCAGGTAGTGAAACGAGTGGACAGATGCGTCGGTCAAGTAAAACATGGCGCGGTGGGTGGCGGACGCGCCTCGGACGAGTTCGTAAAAGATATGGTAGTTTCGCTCGCCTTTGGCCTGCGAGATAAGCCGGACGCGCTCGAGGAGGTAGGTCGAGATGGACGCGCCGGTCAATTCACCAGACAACGGACTGAAACCGAGTCGAATGAACTTGCCAAACCGACTGCTGTTGTTGTTTCGCGTGGTCTTGGCATTGCCAAACGCTTCGAGGATCGGGTTCGACTCGAGTACACGTTGCCGAATGACGGCGTTGTCATCGTTGCTTCGAACACCCAACCCTCCATCACTTGGTGGGGTCGACACCGATGCGAGGTACGTGAGGAGGATCTTGGTGGTTTCCGTCTTGCCAGCACCAGATTCACCGCTGACGAGAATGTTGTGGGGCTCTACGTGCTGTCGCATGGCTCGATACGCTCGTTCAGCCACTTCGTACACGTGTGGTGGCGGTGACGGCAATGAAGAGTTTGCAGCATAGCTGGCTTGGACGGCCGGGGTGTAGAGGTGCGCAAGGGGCTGGCACGGATTCATCGCGACGAGAATCGAGCCCGTGCGAGTGTACACAAGATTACGGGCATATCGCACAGAGAGTGCATGAAGAATGGCAGGCTCGTGCAAGTGTACCAACGACGCAAGGTCGTCGATGGCCGCACACGCCCCGCCATCGTCGGGATGGCAAGCAAATACCGTCGACGGGTCCGCGTCAACAATGATCGCCATGTCGTTCGAATCGACTGTGCATTGAATCGATGCTTTCGACACACGAAGGACGTGGCCTTCAACCCACACGCCATCGAGGAGCACCCACACACGCGCGCCGACTTGCATCGCGACCTTCCGAGCTGACGGCAGAGGGAAGTGTGACACGGCGCTCGAAGTGTTACTGTGGGGGGACCCACATGTCTTACAAACCAAGGTTATCCGGATAGGAATGGCGACAGCGGTTACGGGAGTTACAGCAAAACGTCGCGCGGTGGGTCCCGTGAGTAAATCCAAGCGCACCGCAGTTCGAGGACGCGCGACTGTTGTTCGTCAAGGGTGCCCATGTGGTGCTCGGTGGGTTCGTTATTCGCATGAGAAGTCGTCGTCGGTGGCGGATGCCATACGCCTCTACGGACAAATGGATGCCTGTGGTACCAAACCCTCGGACCATCGCGGCAGAGCAACGGGAGCAGGTTCTAGCAGACAAGGAGAAGCAACGCCATGGTCCGTGTCGACCAGTTCACTCTGGCAAGTGTGTCCATTGATACGACGCTTGGTTGAGGTGCTCCAACGGCCCACACAGCAGCATGTCGTGTACTCGACGGGCGTGTCTCGTTGCCGGTGGGTTCGCAAAGGAGATGATACATGGCGTGCGTTGCGATATCGAACCAATGCAAGATGGCCACACAATACAGACACGATATAAGTTACATGGCGCGCCTACTTGGACATGCTAGCTCGGTGGATGCTGTACCCATTCCCTGGGTCCACCGCCGGGGACAACGACAACGCCTTTTGGAACGTGATCACGATCGGCTTGGGCGCTGTTTTGAGAACATGCATCGCTCGTTGAAACCCGAGGTCCCGAATGTCTTCTTGGTTGACAAACAGCATCAAGTCGCCCTTGGACACGCGATGGCGCTGACGAGCCGCGTACGCGGCGCCCTCGTCCTTGACTTGGACCACCTCAATGTAGTTTTCCAGACGTGGGGCGATGACAAGACCGAGCGGACCGTCCTCGTCCTGCCACGTGATGGAGTACTGCGTGGCGTTGGGGTCGACCATGTTCAGACCAGACGACGCCGGCACACCCATGACAGACACGTCGTTACCGCGCGAGCTCAAGCTGCCCGCGAAACTCATGTTGTTGCCGGCAAAGCTCATGGTGGAATCGCGGAGAGTGGTGCCACTGGCATAGCTGTTGCGTTTCGAGTGGGGCGTGGGTTCCAAACCGGGTTCGAGGCGGCGGAACCGAAGCACGCACGGTTTAGGCTCCTGCGTGAGCATGCGATTCACTTCGACTTGGGACTTTTTCAACGTCGCTTTGTCGTTGATGTGCGTGAGGAGGTCGCCGCTGCGCACTTGCGCCGACGGAACGTACAACTGGTTGAGCACGTTGCTTACATACGGCATGTGGTACTCCATCGACATGCGGAAACTCACTTTGAGCGGCTCGTTCTTGCCCCACAGCACTTCAAACTCGTTGTCGGCCAAGTCGTGCGCGGTTTCGTGGCCGTGGCGCTGAAACACCATCACGACGGGCTTGGGAATCGAACCGAGGTACTCGAGCGTTTGCTTGAGCGACTCATGCGCGACCAGCTCCTTGTTGCCGATCTGCAGAAGCAGGTCGTTCACGCGGACGTTGCGGATGTCGCGGCACTGGCTCAACTGCAAGTGGATGCGGCGCACAATCGGCAGTCCTGTCGCGTCGTCCTTGCCAAAGTACAACCCCAACATGCCTTCTTCCCACGTGACTTCATATTGCTCGTCGTCAAACTCCTCAAACGAAATTTGCGGGTTCAAAAACGGGGTTGGCTTGATCACAGGCACCGGCGGCGGGGCCACCGCGTGCGGTTCGACGGCGGCCTTGGTTTCCAACGACGCTGTCTTCAACGCGGCGGCGACAGTGGCTGCGTTCGCGTCGTCCTCGGCCTGCTTCAGTGTGGCCGCTGCAGCCGCCGCTTCCTGGCGAATACGCTCGGCCTCGGCTGCCTGGGCGAGTTTTTGCTGACGAAGGCGTTCGGCTTCAGCTTCTTCGGCAAGTTTCTTCTGGCGAAGCAGCTCCTCCTGACGAGCCCGTTCACGCGCCTCGCGCTCGGCTTGTTCCCGGCGGCGGCGCTCGGTTTCTCGGAGGCGCAAGAGAAGGTTCTTGGCCAAGAACCGACGGACAAGCGATTGCACGACGACAATCCGCTTCTTTTCGCGCTGGACCCATCGGCGGACCATGGCGCCGCGCATGGACTTTTGAATCACGACAACCGACTTGGACAGTCGGCGCTGGGACTCGCGGTTTAGGGTGTCGTAAGCCGAGAAAACAAGGAATACTTTGGACAACCCGACTTGGATCGGAGGCCGCGAGTCCGCCGGGTCGACCAATTTGAACGTCTTCACCAAGTACGGCACCATCATCGTGAGCGGCAACCGCATCGGACAAAGCAATCGATATTGCCACAGAAACGTGGCATGGGGGAATCGAATCGGGTACCCCGTTCGGGAGATCTGCGCCGCCTGAACGACGCCGCTGCACCGGAGTTGCTCGAGGACGCGGGCGTGGTCGTACTCGAGAGGTTTGAGTGCGTCGTTTGGTTTGATGCACCGAATGAAGTGGAGAGACGTGGCTTGGAGGACCTCGAGCATGTTGCCCATTTGTCGCTGGAATTTCATGACGACGGACGAGCTCATGATGCCAGACGATCGGCGCGGCCGGTTCGGGTCGACCGCGACGGCGGGGGTTTCGACCGCGAGGAGTAAAAAGTAGTCTTGGAACATGGCCTTGACAAAGGTGTCGGCCGAGCCAGACAGGAGCTCGATGGCTTCGTCGTGGATGTGGTCCTTGTTCTTGTCGCAGAAGCCGTCGATCGTGTACACGACGGGGGCGGCGTAGTGCAGGACCGTGAAGAGCTGCTTCCCCTGCTGGAGCTTCGACGCGGCAAAGCTCGGGTGGATGGCAAACGCGTTGTAGTAGGACCGAACGAGCGCGGCGTCCGTCCCAGTGGACAAGATGCACTGCTGGTCCAGGAGCTTGAACAGGCCATTGCGTGACTCGAACAAGTTTACCACGAGCTGGTTGTTGGGGAAATCTATGTCGGTCCACGGAATCTCCTGCGCCTTGTACTCTTCCTGTTCCATCTCAAACACGTACTTGGTGAAGAGCTGCTGGAGCTTTTCGTTGGCAAAGTTGATGCAGAGCTGCTCGAGGGAATTGACAGGGAAGATTTCAAAGCCAAAAATGTCGACGATCCCGATGAACCGCAGCGTCGAGTCGACCTCGGCGACGCTCGTGTCCTCGTAGTTCATGCAGTCGTTGATCCGATCCACGAGCCAGTCGAAGAGACGGCCGTAGATGGTTTTGGCCAAGACTTCCTTGCAATCCTCGGCCTTCTTGACGTCCAGCGACGTCATGAGCATCTCCCGGCCCGTCTTGATGGCTTTCGTGCACAGATTCTTCTCGAGACTGTCCCTTGACACGCCGAGCAAAGTGCACAAGTGGTTCACTGTCGACGATTCGACCAGGCGCGATGCGTTGCTTTCGTGGCCAGGGACAGCCTCAAATTTGAGGTTGCCCAAGTGGAGCACGGCCGCCACAAGTTGCATGACCGCCGCTTGCTCTTCCTCGCTCATGCCGATAGTCGTCATGGCGTGGGTTGTCTTGACAAACTGGGATGCGTCGTCGACGCCGTCCTGCCGGTCAAAACACTCGCTCTGGTTCAAGTACTTGAAATCTGCCAAGTCGGTCAGTCCCAAGTCTGCAACGAGGTCCTTGGGACCTCCCCGGATGAGTTCGTAAAAGATGTGGTAGTTGCGCTCGCCCTTGGCTTGGGTCACGAGCCGTACGCGTTCCAATAGGTATGTCGAGATGGACGCGCCGAGCAACACACCGGACGAGTTGAAGCCGAGCCGAATGAACTTGCCGAACCGACTGCTGTTGTTGTTGCGGTTCGTTCGCGCATTCCCAAACGCTTCCAGGATCGGATTCGATTCTAACACGCGGCTGCGGACGAGGTTGTGGTCCACGGACGTGTCGTGTGTGGCTTCGGCCGACACAGACGCCAAATATTCCATCACGATCTTGGTCGTTTCTGTCTTGCCGGCACCAGACTCGCCACTCACGAGGATGCTTTGGTTGGGCGGGATGGACTGATCGGCCGTCGGACTGCTCGACAGGCGCATGTCACGGTAGGATTTGTCTGCGATCGAGTACACATGCGGGGGCATTTTGTCCAGCTTCTCACCTGCCGCCACGCGACTTCCATGTGCAATATACGAGCACTTCGTCGTCGGGGAGTACAGCGGCAGGCTCTCGAACGGGTTGAGCGCGACGAGGATCGACCCGGTTGTCGTATAGATCTGATTTTCCTGGAACCGCAGCTCCAGGGTCTTCTGGATGGACTCTTCGTCCAGATGCACGAGCGCCGTCAAGTCGTTCACGTTCTCGATGGCACACGACATGGTCGACTGCTGCGGCCGTGCTTCACCTCTGCGCCCGCAATTGTGTAATGGAAGGGGAGCAGTCCGGCGACCCATTGTCGGGGCGCCAAACCGAAAAAAAATACAGCATTGGAACAATACAGGTCCGCGTATTTAAATAAATGGGGCAAGTCCTCGGATACGTTAGTTTATAAACGAGTGCTGTGCATGCCAACAGCGATACCCTGTTGACACACGTACGTGGTCGAGATGCGGGCTCTCAAGGCACAGTACACACACTACCAACCGCGGCAAGCTTGCACGGAAATTCAGCACTTGCCGGGTCGACGTCCGCACTCCGGGGCGCGGAATCAATTATGTGACGAATTCGCATTTTGGACGACTGGACGATGCACCGCTCGTCGGGTTCGCACATGCCGTCGCAATGCTATCTGTGGCGCTCGGCGTAACAAGCAGATCCTTCCTGACAGGAGAACCCCCCTCGAACGCGGTCATCGTCGACCCGACCACGACGCAGCCGAACACATATCTGGCACGATCTAACGACGACGAATTGAACCAATCACACGCCACATACACCAATCGATGGCCAATCAAATACATTCAAATGTTTGACATGGTATCGCACAGACAAATGCTCCCAGTTAGCGAACAAGGCATGGTCATGTCGCTGAGTTCTCTTGCATGCTCCATGCGGAACCAAACATCTTCATGCGCAATGTGCCTCATCCGCGCGTCTTGGTCACCCCTGGCGCCTGCACATGGTGCCCGTGAAAGCGGATGGAAGTTGCAACATGGACTACAGGTTCAATCAGTCAGAGGAAGTGATGGCAACGATTGTCGGGTGAATCGCCGCTTCCGGAAGCGCTCTTTATCTCGCAGATCGACTTCAAAATGTACAAGACGCATGCAACCATTTCCACGGCGCGACTTGACCCCGAAATCTAGGCGAGCGCCGCCCATAACATCGCCGCAACAGCCCCACTACAACCCGACAACACGTTGATTCACCAATCAAAGTAAAGGAATTGGTCATCACCCAATCACATCGGAGACAACAACTCCTACAAAAAAAGGACAATAAATATTGAAACTTTATATGTTGACAAAACATTTTTTTACAACAGATGGGAGTGTCCGTGGGTGGCAATTCGGTTCCTCGTCAGTACCAAGGAGGATGCCGCCAAAGCCGACGTCGACGACCGTGGAGGACCTCACGCTCCTGGTGACGCTGGATGAGGTCACGATTCTAAAGGCCCTGCAAGCACGGTTCAATCAGAACTTCATTTACACCAGCACGGGTGCAATCTTGCTCGCTATCAACCCGTTCCGTCCCCTCGACCACCTCTACACGGACGCAGTCAAGGACACATACATCGAACATGGAAACCTCGTCATGATGGGTGAGAAGAACGTGCCCAAGCTGCCGCCGCACGCCTATGCGGTTGCCGACACGGCATTCCGTGATATGAACCGAGACATGTGGATTCGCCCGGCGACCCCGAACACGTCGGCAGTCTTGCACGCGGCAGAGCCTGAAGCACCTCCCATGGTGTCGTCGAACCAGAGCATTCTCGTGAGTGGTGAAAGTGGTGCTGGGAAGACCGAAACGGCCAAAATCATCATGCAGTACCTCGGGTCGGTGTCCATGGCGACGGCTCACGAAGGCTACGCCAAGGAACATATTCGCAATCGAGTGCTCGAGTCAAATCCAATCCTCGAAGCGTTTGGGAACGCCAAAACGATGCGAAACAACAACAGCAGTCGATTCGGAAAGTTCATTCGACTGGGCTTCGAGCCGAATGGATCCCTCTTGGGGGCGTCGATCCTGACCTACCTTCTCGAACGCGTGCGCCTGGTGTCCCAGGGTCCTGGCGAGCGGAACTACCACATATTCTATGAGCTGCTGGCAGGAGCATCTCCCGAAGAAGCAGCCGAATTCAGTCTTGCTTCTGCCGAAACGTTTCGGTACCTGAACCAATCTGGCTGCATCCTTCGCCAAGACGGCGTCGACGATGCGATGAGTTACCGCGACACGATTCACGCCATGACAACCCTTGGGATCGACCGAGACGAACAAAAGAATGTGCTGCAGCTCGTCGCTTCGATCTTGCATCTCGGCAACATCGAATTCGACGCGGCCGCCGGCGACAGCGGTGGCAGTGCGGTGCGCGCCACTTCGGCGTCCGCCCTCGCGATGGCCAGTCGGCTGTTGGGAGTCGACGAACCAACGCTGGAACGCAGCTTGACGTCGAAAGCGATCCAGGCGGGCGGAGACCAAGTCACGGTCCTCCTTGGTCCAGACAAAGCCGTTGTGACCCGCGACGTGATTGCCAAGACATTGTACGCCGAGTTGTTTGACTGGCTCGTGGCCCGCATCAACAAATCGATCGAGTACGCGCCGCGGGACGCGGCGACGGACCGGTTCATTGGGATCGTCGACATTTTTGGGTTTGAGATCTTTGCGACCAACTCGCTCGAGCAATTGTGCATCAATTACGCCAACGAGAAACTGCAGCAACTGTTTGCGTCGTTCGTGTTTGAGAAAGAGCAGGAAGAGTATGTGAAAGAAGCCATTCCGTGGTCCTTCGTCACGTACCCGAACAACGATCTGTGCGTGGCGCTGTTCGAGTCGCGGCCCAAGGGACTGCTGCCCCTCCTGGACGAAGAATCGCGGCTCCCGACCGGCAACGACTCGCACTTGATTCAGAGCTTCTACTCGTTGTTTCAAGACCACACCCACTTCACCGTGTCGCCGCTGCAAAAAAAGATCCTCCACTTTCAAATCGTGCATTACGCGGGCCCTGTCACGTACGTCGGCGACGGGTTCTGCGACAAAAACAAAGACCATGCCCATGCTGACGCACTGGGATTCATGGCGACGTCGACTGTCCCGCTCTACAAGGCCGTGTTTGACCAGGCGCGCCTGCTCGCATCCATCACACCGTCGTCATCCAAGCAGCCATCCACGGTCGTCCACAAGTTCAAGTCGCAGCTCGCCAGCCTCCTCGCGTTGCTGCATACGACGGAGCCGCACTTTATTCGGTGTGTCAAACCCAACGACGCGATGAGCGCCAACCGGTTTGACGAAGTGCGGGTCACCGAGCAGCTGCGGTGCTCGGGCGTTCTCGAAGCGGCCAAAATTTCCCGGACTGGGTACCCGCTGCGATTCTCCCATGCTGCGTTTGTCCACTCGTACTTGTGTCTGTGTCCGGGCGTTCGGTTGCCGCCGTCGTCATCGGACGATCCGTCGCCGCCAAGTTTGCGCTCGACGGCCCAGGAAATCATTGCGGCGATTCTAGCGGGATCGTTCATGCAACCGCCATCGGAGCCACCGGTCGTCCTCGTCCAGGAAGAAGGCCGCGCGTCGTTTCAGGTTGGCCTGACCAAGGTGTTTATGGTCCTGTCCGTGTACGAACAACTCAACGCAGTCCGGGAATCCTTGTTTGGCGACAGCGTGCTCGACATGCAGCGCATGATTCGAGGCTGGCTCGCTCGTGTGCACTACCGTCGATGTCGCCAAGCAATCCTGACCATCCAGTCGACCTTCCGCATGCTGCGCATTCGCCGTGCGTTCCTCCAGCTGCGCCACTCGATGCTCGTCGTGCAAAAAGTCGTGCGTGGCCATCTCGCGCGGGTTCGGGTGCGACATCTCCGGCGACACCGCGCGGCCGTCCGTATTCAAACAGTGCTGCGGATCCACATCGCCAAGCGAATCGCCAACCACCGCCGCGTCCATCAGGCGATGCTGCCCGTCGTGTCGGAGCTCACGAGCGTCCTCGAGTATTCCAAGCAGTTTGAACTCACGCAGCAGTTTGAGCAGCAACAAGACTACGCCAATTCGTCGACCAACGGTCGATCGGGCACTGGTGGCCGCACGATTCGACTCGATGAATTCAGCGACGACGATTCAGACGACGACGACAGCATTGTCATGGGCGACCGACACGCAGACATTGCCGCCGACAGCAACTACGGCGGGTGGGGACGCCATCGCGGCACGTCCCAGTCCGGGATGGCAGCACTCACGTACGAAGTCGCTGTCTTGCAAGGCGGACAGCTAGGCGTATGCTTTGAACGTCGCGACGGGCTATACGTCGCGCACAAGTTGCATCCAACCCTCAGTCATTGCGTGGACATTGCGATGATAAGTCCGGGGGATGTTCTGGTCGCCATGAACAACCAGCCTCCGCTCCTTTCGTCGACGTTGGAGGTGCAGAGCCCCCACGGAGCGCTGCACTTCCTTCCGCCCGCGACGTACTACACAACGTTTCGGTTCGAGAAACCAAAGAGTCCCGTGGCGGTCCAGGCGGGGGTGTCGTCGCTGACGACGAATGCCAAGGCCGTCGAGGTGCTGTGGCTCGCGGAACCCTCGCTCGGCGTGTCTCTCCGAATGCACCCGACGCTGCGAGTCCCACAAGTCGGTCAAATCAACCACTTTGACAACCCTGGCATGATCAACCTCCATGAAGGCGATATCTTGATCGCGCTCAACGGCGTCGACATCCGCCGCATGGAGTTTAGCATGGCCCTCGCCTTGCTCAAGGACGCCGCGCGACCACTCGTCCTTACCTTTGAATCCGTGGTCGACACGTACGCCACGCCGGCCTTCACGTTGCTGGACGGTTCCTTCCTTTACCACGTCGTGTGGGACGGTGGGCAGCTCGGTCTGTCCCTGTCCAAGACGACGACGTTGTACCCCAAAGTCGTTCATGTCAACGTCGACCAGCCTGGGACGGCCATGAACGTGATGAAGAAGCGCCTGGCCATGGGCGATGTCAAAGTGTCGCGAGGCGATTCGCTCGTCAAGGTCAACCACCAAAGCGTTCGGGAAGTGCCGTACTCGCAGTTGCTCCAACAGCTTCGAGACGGGCCCAAGCCCGTGATTCTGACCTTTCAAAAGCGAAAGCGACCCAAACTGCCGACGACCGGCCTTAGATGAGACCGCAGCTTAATCTGACACGTTCGTGCGTTTTCGTGTGGGTATCTCATGCTGTGCGTTATGTGCCCAACGGGACGAGATTGGACCTGCCTGATCCTGACGCTTCCTGTGATGGACTCCATTTCGTGCGTCGGTAGTGCAAAACAGCGCCGCTACGATGGCATGGCTCGTTGGACCGTCACGGCGCGACAAATCGAGAGTGGAAACCAGAGATGATGGCCTGCCCACTGCACACACGCCCGAGGACAACTCGAGTCGCAGCGCTGCCGACTCGCTGCCGACAAGATGGGCACCGCGATGCCGTCAAAAAGCCAACGTTCGCAGGACGACGGGCAAAGTACGCCATGGTCTGGCCACCACGGCGTCGTTCGTGCAGAGACTTGTGGTCGCTTTTGCGATGTCACGTTATTTTAAACAAATCAAATCGGGTCAAAAACCACGGCACCTCTTCAAAACATGGCAGCAGCACGTGGCGTCTGGGGCAATGAACCACTCGTCGGACAAGTCCTGTCGTTTCTGGATAGCCATGCGCTCGGGATGGCCGAGTGCGTGTGTGCTACATGGTGTCATGTGGCAAGCGACATGAAGTTGTGGTCGCGGCTGTGTCTGGCATCGCGACGCTGCCTTGTCGGGTCGGCGACTCGCGCGCTGCATGACCAGGTTGGAGCCAAGCGGTACATGCACCTCGTCGAGTCGCGGCGAAAGCACCACGAGCTACGTCAACACGACTTGCGATCGCTCGTGGAATCGGACTTGTGGACACGGTAGGCACTTTTCTGTGGACACGGCACCAACCTGATCGGCACGCAGCATCATTGTTCAGGAAAAGTGGCTTGCCCGCGTTCACATGGCGTTCGCAATCGACGTCGTCATTCCACGCATGGAAGCAGGACCCAGCGTTGCCCACATTTTGGGATCGTTCGCGCAAGTGCTCGACGATGCGTTTGATGAACTGGCCCTGTCTCGCGAGATGCTTTTGAAGGCTGTGGCCATGAACGAGTCTGCCTGGATCACGCATCACTTGGCTCTCCTGTCCGAGAAACGCCAAGACTTTGATGAAGTAATGCCGCCGTCAATGCAAACACCGAGGACCTCACACTTCGAATCCCCAGGCAGAGATGTGGTTTCGTCGAGGGTATGACCAAAACAACACATACGTCCCCAACGTGCTCAACTTTGCTGTGTTCATGGAAGAGCGGCGCATGCAATACGATGCCGCGGACGAACTGTACCAGCATGCGCTGCTTCACGCGGTAGCGCCAGTGCACCGCCTCGATGTGTATTTCGCCATGGGCGATTTCTACTTGCTCAAACAGCGCGACATCGGTCGAACCCGAAAAGTGCTGAGCCAGGTCCGGCGATACATCGGTCGTTGTGCTGAACGCTCTCCAAATAGGCCTACGAATTCCTCAAACGCATTGCCGATGTCGATGGTGTTGCCGGCAGGGATGTCAAGGTCGCCATCCAATACGCCGAGTTCCTCGTGTACGTCTGCCAAGACTATGCCGCGGCCGCCGCCATCTTTAAGGTTGTGCTGCGCCGTTGGATGTTTGAGCGGGGCCGAAAGAGTGGCGTGCACCCAGATGTAGCGGTGTTTCTTCAGATAGGACTGTTGAGCTATGGTACACCTACTCTTACCAACGATGTGAAAGGCCATTACGTCTGACCGTAGCGATCTGTGTGGTGTTCGCGACCCGCAACCAAGCGATGGCCCTCCAGATCGTAGAGTACTCTGCCGCAGTCGAGCAGTGCATCCTCACCCAGCGTTCCCATCCACTCCCAACGTCGTCGTCGCAACGAGTTGTTGCCCGATACAAGCTGACAGCAGCAGTCGTCGTGCAGCATGCGACCGATCTGTGCCGACCCCTGACCTGTAAGGAGGACGTCGACAGTCTTGCTCCACTCATGGGGTTGCTGTATTATCTCGACGGCAACACCACTGATGCCATGGCGCTTTGGGCAGCGTACTTTCGCAGGCTCTCCAACGTCCACAGCCCCGAGTATGCCTTTGCGGGGTATAGAATGCTTCTTTTCGAGAACACCTGGTTGACTGTGACTCCAGGTTTTGCACGGGGGCGGTGCTGCACATCGCAAACAAGCCCGAGGCAGCGGCAAAGGCCATTGCACGAGCTTTCGCCGTCGACGCGCACAGCCTTCAGTTCCAAAACCTGGACCTCGTGCTTCGGGAAGTCGCTGAAGGCAACGCAACGTCAACCGATCACGTGGATCGACGTCAACGTGCGTTGGCATGTCGTGACGTGCTCGTGTCGTACCTCCTCGCGCATCAAGCTGGGTCCTTGGCACTTGGCCAGTGTGTCACTCACCGTCGCATGGAGTGAGTATGTTCTCCACTTGGGAGAACCTGAAGCCATCCCCGAGACATGGTCGGTTGTGCTGGCAGGGCGATCCACTCAACGACGAGACGAGATCGTCCAGATGTGGTGAATGATCTCGAAACCGTGTGGGTGGCAGAATGTAGTAATCGCCACCTTAATTTCACAGATCCATTCCCTGAATCGACTTCATTCGGTGTATTTAAGGCATTTTCTGCCTAATTCCAACTGGCGCGTCGGAATTTGAGTCGCATCTTCAAAATTCCTATCCTCTGATAGGAGGAAAACTCTTTCTCACAGGTTCTATCAAGCGCGTGGATAAATGAATATCCATTGTTAGAGGTTTTCACGCGGTCATTGACGGCAATACACAGAAACTGAACATCGCGCGTTACACGCACTGGATGCTTGGCGGATGCCGCACGAGATGATGGAGGAAGGAGCGCTCGTGTGGGTGATGCATGCGGCACGATGGAATGCTGCCGTGATAAAGACTATCTCGCTCCATGGAACGATTCGGTGCTGCCTCGTGGACAACCCTGGCGTTGTGGATGTCGACGCGACGTCGAGAAAGGACAGGCTCCACCCGTGCAACCCCGCTGACCAACACCGTGACGGCGTCGATGACCTCACATCCTTGGTGTACTTGCATGAACCAGCTATCCTCAACGCGCTTCGAGCACGATACCGAAACGGCGTGATCTACACCCGAACAGGAACGATCCTGGTTGCCGTGAATCCGTTCCAGCAGTTGCCGCTCTACGATGAAGCAACCAAGAGACGATACATACAAGCTGGGCGATCACCGCGTCATGACGGGGACAGCAACTTGCCGCCCCACGTGTTCGCTGTTGCCGACCGAGCGTACCACGACATGCTCTCGACACGGCAGAATCAAAGCATCTTGGTCAGCGGCGAAAGCGGTGCTGGCAAGACAGAAACCACAAAGCTCATTATGACGTACTTGGCGTCGGTGTCGTCGACTCAACCTCATGATGACAACGCCGTGCGTGACCGCATCTTGGAATCGACGCCAATTCTAGAAGCGTTTGGAAACGCGTCAACCACACGGAACAGCAACAGCAGTCGGTTTGGCAAGTTCATACGAATTGAATTTGAAGCAATATCGGGCGAGTTGGTCGGCGCATCAATATCTGCGTACTTGCTGGAGCGCGTGCGGTTAATCTCGCATACCTTCGGCGAGCGGAACTACCACATCTTTTACGAACTGTGTTCGTCGTCCGTAGCCAAGTCGCTTCAGCTGGACCGCCCCTTTGCGTACCTCGGTGGCAGCAATCACCAGTGTCGCCGCGACGGGGTCGATGACGCTACTCAGTTTGAGATGACGCGTCACGCCATGGCCACGATGGGCTTGTCGATCTACAACATCGCGTCAGTCTTGCAAGTGGTGGCCGCTGTGTTGCACCTTGGCAACTTGAAATTCAACCCTCATCACGGAGGGACATCTCGATTGAGCACCGACGACGACACCGCGCAATTGTGCTCGTCCTTACTTGGTATTTCCCTGGACAACGTGGAGGAAGCCTTGACCACACGACGAATCAAGGCTGGCGGGGAAGTCGTGACCGTGGGTTTGTCGCCTACAGCCGCTGCTCAATCTCGCGACGTCGTTGCCAAAACCATGTACGTGCGGGTGTTTGAATGGCTCGTCGGCCGGATCAACGGCGCGACGACGAAAAGCCCAACGTCTTCACCGACGGCGTCGATTGGCATCGTGGACATTTTTGGCTTTGAGAGCTTTGTCAGGAACTCGCTCGAACAGCTCTGCATCAACTATGCCAACGAAAAACTTCAACAACTCTTTTGCCGCGCCGTGTTTGAGCTCGAACAACTCGAGTATGTCGCAGAAGGCATTCCGTGGTCATTGATCGAGTACCCCAACAACGATGCGTGCGTGTCTCTCTATGAATCGCGCCCCCATGGACTATTCAGCCTCTTGGATGAGCAGTGCATTATTCCCCGCGGCAACGACAAACAATTGGTCGCCACCATGCACGGCAAACTCGCGTCGTCCCCAGCGTTCACCGCGACGAGCTCTCAGTTGGGCAAGGGGCAGTTTACAGTGTGTCATTACGCAGGCGCTGTGACGTACGCCACGGACGGCTTTTGCGACAAGAACAAAGATAACGTCCACGCCGAGGCACTCGCGTTTTTGACTTTATCGTCCCACGACCTGTTGCACACAACTCTCGACATGTCGCGACGACAGACGACGCTCATTCGACGCCACTCTGCCAAAGAACGAGGTCAGTCGAGTATGTCGTGCGTGCAAAAGTTTCAAGGACAGCTCAAGACCCTTCTGGGGGACTTGGAAGCGTCGGCAATGCACTTTATCCGGTGCATCAAGCCCAATGATTTTGGCCAGCCGCATGTTGTCGACGACGACCGGTTCTTGGAACAATTGCGATGCAGTGGTCTGCTCGAAGTCACCGAGCTGACTCGTCTTCGCCATCCTGTTCGCATGTCCCATGCTCTCTTCTTAGAGCGTTTCCGTTGTCTCTTTCCTGGCTATGGCGCAATGGACGTAAAGCAGATGCTGCGGTGCTGGGGAGTTGAAAATCCCGTTGTAGGGGTCTCCAAAGTGTACTTTGATCATGCGCTGTTGACCCATCTTAACCAAGCCCGTGACCTCCGCGTGCGCGTTGCAGTTCGAACCCTTCAACGCTTTGCCTGTGCCGTAGCTCGCCGTCGCCGAGCCATCCGTCTCCTCCACATCGAGTCTGCCAGACGCCTTATCTGCCGAACCATCCACACAACAGTCCTTCGCCGCCGACTTGTGCGAACGATGCAAGTTGCGCATGCCCAGCGCGTGATTGCATGGGCATGGAAGGCGCACCGAAACTGCCAACTTGAAAAGCACCGGCTTGAAGAACGCCAACGACGCGTGCGTGATAAAGAGGCCCAACACTTGGCGCTCATCAACCGCGTCGCCGCCGCGCGTCTGGTCTTGAAAGCTTGGTTGCGTCGATGTCGGCTCCGGTGGGCTCTGATGCGTCATGCGAATGATTTGAAGGCATCGGCGGCAGCGCTGTCGTCCACCCGCTCCAGCGACTACCTTCGAGACTTTAAAGGACCACGTGCTCCGCTTCCGAAGAATGTCCTGCACGTCAAATCCACGTCTATCTCGACAACGTCGCCGACGCAGAATTGGGATGACGCACGGGACACCAGTTCCACGAGCAGTTCCTCCTTGGATGGAGATGACTCGTTCACGTACGACATTGAGTGGGAATGTGGCATGCTGGGAATTCACTTCACTGTGGACGGTGGGCGAATCGTCGTACAGCGCCTGCACGTGACGTTGAGCACATGCATTGACATTTTTGCCGTGTCCGTGGGGGATCGGCTCGTGGGTGTCAACAACCTCCCCCTCCTGTTGAATGCGAAGTCGACATATGCTTCCGTGATGCGATACATGGCCCAAGCACCCAAGCCTGTGGTGTTGCAGCTCAAACGAGAGCGGCCGTCGCCTACCATGCCCACTGTGACTCTTCAAAGCGACGAGTACGAGCTGTTATGGAGTCGAAAGGCGCATCCGTCGCTGGGTCTTGACTTCAATTGGGACAATATCAACCAAATGCCAGTCGTGATCCGTGTGCATCCTCAAATCGGACGTACAATCCCGGGCCGCACCAGCGTTTGTGTTGGCGACTGGCTTACCCACATCCATGACGCACCCCTCCGCCAGAAGCAATCGTCTTGGGAATCCAAGTTACAAGGTGGTGGGAACGGCGCGACGGCACTCCTACGATTTCAGCGCGCAGGGACAAACGCCCGCAACAACGCCGACGTGTTGGCCAACGGTGGTCGGTTGAGCGACGTCGAGTCTGCGTGTGGGTTCAAGGAAATGGAGCGGTGGTCGTGGAACCCCAAGCAAGACGACACACTGCATCACCTCCTGTACACTGATGAAGACTCGTCGCTCGGGCTTATCCTGCGGCAGCCTGCGTACAGGTTTTATCTCGAAGTGAGCGATGTCAAGAACGATGGCGCGGTGCACCGCCAGCGCCACCATCCCCGCCGCCATATCCTCCAGGGCGATCAATTGGTGTGTGTAAATCACCAAAACATTCGCGTGATCGGACACGCGTCCGCCCTCGCGCAGCTTAAACATGGCCCCAAGCCCGTCCTCCTCACCTTTCGCCGCGTCAAGCCTACGTGCTCCATGTACTCCACCAGCCAAAGTTGCTAATACGACGTCGGCGATTCTCCAAATGCCCCGTTGCTTGCTCCCGTAACTCTGATATTTATTCCTTCCCTTTGTTCCTGCCGTCGTTCTTCCGCATGGGGAATGTGGACCAAACTTGGTCAAACTGAACACGATCCTGAACTTGGCCAAACTCCATCGTCGAATGTCTTGCCCTTGCGCCAGAACGATCGATTCAGGAAGAAGCAACGAGCCATGCATATTCGAGCACTGTGCGCCGTCGCTTGTAGGGATGTCATCACCTTGGTCGTCTCGAATCGTTGGCGTTGTTCATTCGTGAAATGAAGGCATGTGTAGAAAGAGGGTGTAGCTGTGGAATGGGTGTTGGCTTTCCAGGAACACGTCTCCCACGGGTCTGCGAGATGCTGCATGTGAACGTATGCATACGGCTTGTTCCCTGGCGACGTTATGCGCATGGTGACTGGTAGGGCGCAGCATTGCTCACTCATTTACGGCCAGTGCACAGCAAGTCAAGCGAATGTTGTCGTGTGATGCGCAATCTCGAAAAATGCAAGCCCAACTCATAGGACTACTATTTAGTAGTACTATCTCGATTCAGGTGTACGTTTGACAATGAGTACAGCGAGCGACGGAAAAATGTGGTACTAGAGATATATCTGAAAAAGTGCCTGAAAACGTATAGCATTATCCGGAAAGCCGGTTACGAGAGATCTTGAGGAGGTGTGTGGCAGTTCGGTGAGGCGTTCGAGATGGACACGATTGCCGAAGACAGCGATGTGGTGGGGACGCTGGGAATGCGCCCAAGCAAGGTACGCTGCCATGAAGCGACTATAGTTGATGGCTTGCGTAGGTGAGCAAAGCGAACCATCGACGCGTGTGGTCTGTGGGGGTGGGCGGAGCTGTCGAGTACGACAAGCTCAAGAAGGAGCAAGAGGTGAGGACGCTTGGTTGTTGGAACGAGGTACATAATGTGAATCGACGGACAGGTGAACATCTTACACAGCGAGCTGGAGAAGCAGAGCAAAGCTCTCGAAGAGTCGCAGGAAGAAACCCAGCTGGCCGCCCGCATCGGCCAGACCTTGCTGTTACAAAAGCAACAACTCGACTACGAACTCGAAGACAAGCTATCCACGGTATCCTGCGTTCGAAGGACTGTCCAAAACTTGACGGTGGCGGTGTTTTGCCGTGCAGCTTACGCAGCGCTGCGACACCGCCGAAGCACAAGTTCGGGTAACGTGTTGTGTGGCCTTGCGCCTTCTCAACAGTGTGCTTCCAGGTGCTCGAGGGGAAGTATCACACAGCGACAGAGCAATGGCGCAAGCTAGACCAACTTCGAGTCCAGCACGAGGTGGAAATCGAAGACTTGGCCAACAAGAGCATTGCCTCAACGTACGTGTGATGGCGATCATGGTATCTTTGACGACCTCATGTTGAATTGCAAAGATCCGCCCTGAAGTCCCTCCGAGAAGAGCTAGTTTATACTCGCGCCAAGGTGGCCGAAGCGAGTGCCCGGAACGTCCATCTAGCATCCGAGGTGTGCGATGCGCAGCATTCGTGAGCTTGTTGCTTTAACCTGACGAACATTAAGGTGGACGAGCTGAAAAAACGCGTCGTCGAGCTGAAGCAAGTAAACTCGAAACTCACCGTGGACTTGGGCACAGCAAACGCTCGGTTGGGAGAAGTCCGATTTCACGCGTTCCATGCAGTTGCTTGAGGTGTCACTCACGTTTGTTTTGGCAGCTTCGAGACGCCAACCAAGAACTGGACGGTCAAGTCACAAAACTCAACAACCAGCTAGAAATCGCCCTCATCGATGCCACCAAGTACGAAGCTCTCCAAACCCAGCACGCCAGTACGGTCGAAGACTTGCATGCATCGGTACCACGACGACCCATCCCACGATTGAATTGATGGAGACGGTACATCCCAGTTGGCGGCAAGCACTACCTTACAGGACGACAATCGAGCCAAGTGCCAGCAGGTACACACGTCCATGCAGCGGAAAGGCTAGGTGACCGAAGCTGATAGATTGCAACACTGGGACTGGAGCTTCAGCAGGCTGCTGAACGGCTGGAGCTGGAGCGAACGATGGCACAGGAGTTGCTTCGAAAGCACGACGTAGCGTTGTTCCAGGTCATTGACGCGCTCACTGCATATGCATTGGGTAGATGCACACAGCTGCATCAGGCCACTCCCGCGCTGCCAGCGACTTTAACTTGAGCACAACGACTAACGGAAGCACCAGTGTACCCGGGCTCAAGCACAGGTCTCTCTTCCACGAGCTATCCCTTCAACTTATTCATGACGTCGGCCCGCTTCAACAACAGGTTTGTCGTTCGTCTTCGCTACAAAGTGGTCACGCTGCATGCACAGGTGGTTGCGTTGAAGGATGCCCTGGCAAACGCGTCCACAAACCATTCGGTGCAGTTGCGTCCAAACAGTGCGCCGTGTTGCTGAGGGGTATGGAGTGCAGGCCATGCTTGCGACTATGCAAAGTGAGATGCAAACGGTGGCCAGTTCACGCGAGGAAGCCCTCGCCAAAGCTGCCGAGGTAAATACCGATCGTGCGAATCGTTGCTTGTAATCCCAAACAACCAGATGAAAGGCCAACTCGCCACAGCCTCTCAAGCTGCCCAGGTACCGCGCACACCTGATTGCTTCGCCGTGACGTGTTGTCTGTAGGAATGGGAGCAAAAGTGCATCATGCAAACGCGAGAGGTGGATTTGGTGCATCGACAGCTCGAGCACGCAGCCATCGAGTTGGCCGACGCCTTGTACGCGTCATGGTGTCCATCCATCTTGTTTGGCCTGATGTTGGTGGCTAGAAAATGCAACCACGATCTGCGCGACAAGTTGGCGAAAGCCGAAGTCGACCACGGCCTCGCCCTGCAGCAGCATAGCCGAGACGTGAGTCCTCGAATAGCTCTGCGGTGCCTCTCACGACACCTGTAGATTCGTTCGCTCCAAGCAAAGTACCAACATCTCCAAGACCAGTACGCTCAGCGCGTGGCCAAGTCGAAGGCATTCGTAGCACATGTACATGGAGAAACACGCGTGTTGCAGGCCACGTCACGTTGCGTTGTGCCCAGACACCGGGCGACGGGACATGCGAGTCGGCAGGACATGGCGGGGAAGACGTCGAGCCAAAGTACCACGCGTTGGTCGCCTCGTTCCAGGCGTTGCAGGCAAACCATGACGACGTTGTCGAGCAACTCGAAGCCTCGGTACAAGGCCATGCACGGACCTTGCACTGATCGACACCCGTAGACGAGTCGCATGCATGCAGCAGAAGCTAAGGTCGACGAGCAGGCGCATCAGGTGCCGTAGTGCGTCGAATAGGGACGGTCTAGCAACTGCCGACGATGACTGGGATCGGGTTTCGTTTGTAGTTGGCGACACAGATCGAAGACTTGCACCAGCTCCAGCAACTCTGGAGCGAATCCAAGGTGACTGTGGACGCTCTCCGGCAGCGGAACGAGGTACCGTTCGACACAAACGGCGCGAAGACATCAGTTGTTCCATGCTACAGGAGCTGTCGACGAAATTGTACCAGACATCGTCGCCGACGAAACAGCAAACTGCGATGGAAATCCATCGGCAGTCGTTGCTCGAGCGCGGGTCGCTCTTCCACGAGTTGTCGGCCCATGTTGAGCATGAAGTCGAGATGGCAACGGCCTCGACCGCGGTACGAACGCGCGGCGTTCAGGCTCGACTTGTCGTTGACGGATGCCAATTGTCTAGATCGACCTGGCGAGCGTGCGTTTCCACATTATCTTGGCACTTGCGCAAGGAGCACACGGACGGCATCAACTGCATGGTGCGTAGGAACAGGAGCAAATGCGAGCGATGTACGAAGCAGAGCAAGCGAAACCTGGCAAGGTCCAAGCCGCCAACCCTGCTGCTGTGGTAGCCATTGCGGCACACGACTTTGTTGCGATAGAGGTTGCGTGTAGGCATTGTATCACATGCGAGCCAAGTATCAACGCAAAGCCGACCGGGTGGTCGAGCTCGAGGCTCTCTTGGCATACACGTCGACCCGAAAACATTCCATCTACTGCCGTGGACCGGTACGTCTCGACGCATTGGACTGTGCGGATTCGATCGTGACCCAAAGTCGCCAGGCCAACGCGGCGGTGTTCGCGCGGAAAGGCACCTTCCGCGACTTTCCATGGGACCTTCAACTCAAGCCAATTCCAGTGGTCGCGATCGCCGACATGCACGCCATCGCTGGAACGCACCGACCTGCCAAGCAACATGGACTGGATGGGGCGGTCCCCATTGCCAACCACTGTGGCGAGAAGCCTGGTGGCCCAACGTCCGAGCTGGCCTTGCAACCATGAGCTGTTGCTTTAGCTAGATCTTGTGTCGTCTCGAGCGATTCGTTCCGGACAGAGCGAGCACCGCGACACATCGTTCGTCTTAAATAGGAAGGGTTGGTTCTAAGCACCGGCCTCCGGGTTGTCCGTCGAGGACGGGTCGTCGTCCGTAAAGCCGTTGTGGCCAACCAGGTATTCGGAGAACGCCTGCGTCGCAATCAAACACGTTCGAAATGGACGCATCGAGAGCGGCGATGACGCCAAGTACCCCGCTTCGTCGAAAAACACCAACTTGTCTTGGTGCTGGTCGTCCCAGAGGTACCGGAACCGACCAAAGTGCACATCGTCGACGACACCTTCCGCGCCCCCGCCGTTCGCACTAGGCGAGATGTGCATGCGTTGGCCGGTGCCTACAAGCACATACCCTCCATGAGAACACCGACAGCCCGCACGAACGATGCGACCAATGATGGATTTCACAGCGTCGTGAAAGGCGAGGCGGATGCGGTCGTCGGGGAAGACGCGGGCTTCGCGCTCAAACGAATGGCCAAACACGTGATCGCTCTTTGTCACGTGCAACTTTAAACATTGCCGCAGTGTCCTAGCCGCAACGATGGTTGTCAATCTGTAGACGACGCATGGCCAGTCGGGTTTGCCACGTACGCATGGAGCTTTTTCCAGACAGGAGTCGGGAGGTCCACGGGCAATTCCCCTTGGACAACCATACTCGTATCCAGGTCAACGCACACGACTTCGTCTCCGAGCTCACCTGGCCACGTCATGAGTCCCGCGACATGCCATCCAACGGAGCACGTACTGAGCAGCTCGGCGTTGAGGAGGTCCTTTTGGACTCCAAAAATGAATGGCGTGGGGCATTGCAAGTAGCCGAGCATGTGGCCGGGGAGGACAGGCACGTAGACGTGTGGCCACTTGAGCGGATGCAGAATCGTCCGGAGCGTCTCGGCGACGACGGCGAGCACTGTAAACTGCGACGAGATGAGGAGGATGCGGCACTCGACGAGCGCCGCCGTGAAAAGCGTGACGATGTTGGTCAAGTCGAGCGTGTCAAACAGGAGCGCGAGAGAAAAGTCGATGCACGGCAACGAAAGCAAGCGGGGAAATGTCACGCGAAGCGGCGCCGACAACGTCGCGATCATGCTCGACGCGAACCCGGAGATGCACTTTTCAAACACTTCACTGAGTCGTTGGCGCAGCGTCGTGTGCAGAGGATACCGCGAGTAGATTGCCACACCTAGGGACAGCGCGCAGTGGGTCCTTGGCCAGGACGAAGGGAGAGCTACCATAGGGCAAGAAGGAAGTTGGGTCGTCCCAGTGGGGCCGAAAGAGTGTCAGGACTGCCGCAAACAGCTCGATGTCTCCCATGAGCATGTGCGTGTTGAAGGCAAATGGCGTTGGACACGTCAAGCTCTTAATGCGGCACTCATTGTGGGCATTCTTGCACCTACACGAGAGAACATGACGTCGCGGTACTCCATTTGCAGCTACGAGCAAAGAATTTGTTGCGCACCATGGCACGAGGAAAGCATCGATGCCACCGCCATCGAGCTTGGCCGCGCCAAAATGCGGTGTCGACTTGAGTTCGTACTTCGCCGGCGACGACGGGACACTTTCAAAGTGAACTATCGCTTCAATCCACTCAGCAGGCAGCGCGTCCAAAGGAGGTGGGTCGGGGCGACCGCCAGGTGACACGTGCGCGCGAAGGCCGTAGAGCAGCATGAGCTCCGACAGTCGACGGGTCGAGTCTTGATCGTGTGCGTACAGGACAAACTCGGCATACGCGTGGCTCGCGATGAAGCTAGCACAGCGACATCCACCCATCAAGAAGGCGCGCCGAATCAACAAACACATCGCAACACACACCGAAAGTACAGCTCCGAGTGCATGTCCTGCAGCTTTTGGACAATTTGCTCTTGTTTGTGGTGGAGTGTGGCATGGGCTGCCGTGAGGTCGTCGGTGTCGAGAGCATGCTGCCATCATGCATTCGCCAGGGTCATCGCTGGTCTAGAGGCGACGGGTCGGTCGTACCTGGTCCTGGTCGCTGGTGTCGTGGAAGTATCGTCGTCGGAGGTATTGCAGCGCGGCGGCGCCTTTGCTGCGGACACAATCGGGCGGCGCCAAGGGAGGACGATGGTCCCCGGCAACGTCTTGGTCGATCGCGCGATACAAAAACTTGAATTCGTACTGGACGTCAATGTACAACGCGAGTTCGTTGTGGTATTGATGCTGGAACAGAAACAGCCAGAAAAAGTTGCACAGCAACCGGTTGAGCAACACGCAATCCAACGGGAGCAACTCGCGGCGACACGACGTCAGCATGTCGCGGTACAAGTCGGTGGCGCGGAACGCCGGGTACGACGTGATCAGGTGCTGCTTGACGAGCCGAGAGATCCGGTCGAATGCATGGAGCGCCCCCTCGCCGCCTGTGGATATCGCCGTCTCGACCTGCGCCACGTCGACAGCATCCTCGTCGCCGATGAAGAATGGCGAGTCGCCAGCGACCAAGTACTTGGCAAAGATTTTGCGACCGTACGTTTGCAGGCGGCTGCGATTCTCGTCCGAGAGACGGGTGGCCATCGCGTCGCGGGATTGGGTGGTCAGCGTTCGCCAGAATAAGCTACAGTCGCCATGCCGCCGCGTGAGAAGAACCAAACACACTCGCGACCACAAGCGCACCGGTATTCGTCCAAGCTGCACAAAAAGAAAAGCTTGCACTTGTCGGCTTCGTTGGGCAGCCACGATGCATAATACCGCATCATCTTTGGGGTCTGGACAACTTCCTCCAACGCAACGAGACCACGGGGGTCGACCATGTCCGGCGCATGCGGATCCTGCCGGAAACGACGCCATCACATTCGAGCACTTTGAAACACGACTGGCTACCTCTCGCTGCCAGAGCGCCACGAGTGGATTTGGCACGTGGAGTCCCCTTCGCCCACCGCCAATGATTGCATAATGCGAACCATGCTTCACGTTCGAGTTGTAGTGGTCTGTTAGCCATCGATTCCACTTTTGCAGGGTGCTAGGAGCATCTGTGATGGAAGCAGGTCCTTCGACTGGCATCGATGGGGATGGTTGCGTCGGGGCGGCCGTGTGGGTGGTCGTGGCCGACGGCTGCGATGCCTTCTTCGTCACCTTAGCTTTGGCGGCTTGAGTTTGTTCGTACAGAAACCGTGCTGCCTTGAGCCGCACCTGCTGCGCCCATCGAGATTGAGCTTGGCGCGACCTTTGCGGATCGCCCTCAACCAAGATGGTCGCTTGAGGTGGCACTATAGTCGACGACTCGTCCAGGATAGCGGTAACATCCTGTGCCGACATGGTTTCAAGCAGCAGCATGCTCTCAACAGTTGATGAGGCGGTGAGCGGTTGCTGTGCCTGCATGTCGTGGAAGATACTGCGCTGGGACGCCAGTACATCCGACAACGACGACGGCGTCAGGGTACCTTCAGTGAGGCTGCGCGACGAGTCCCACATGCTTTCGCAATCGGACGGGTAGCTTTCGCAGCTTCCTCGCATGATCTCTTCGGCGTGGATCATCGCATCATCCGGCACCGGATCTAGTTGACGTCATGTCCAGGACACGCAAGGTGCAGTGTGCCTACATGTGGGGGGAGAAAGGGTTGTCGGGATAATAAGGTCTTGCAACGGAGACCCCGACAGCGGCAAGTCGTCCTTCGACTCGACCTCGTGAGCGTAGCGCCGGTAGAACGACTGCATCGTCGGTCCCGCCGTCGATCCACTTGCAACCTGGTCAAGGGCGCCTCGGCAACTCAATCGCACCACAATATATAATTATACAATACATTTAATTCAGCAGGATATTCAATAATGCAGTATTTGGAAGCACCCGCGCGACGAACGCGCCTGCATGCACGCTCCCTTTGCATGCCTCGTATGCGACTGCTATAAACTTCATTCAAAGCTGTACCAGGCCGCGGAAGATGGGCTAACTGACGACGTCGTGCGGGTGCCCGTGTCGTTGTCCCCGTTCGCGAACAGAAACACAAGACGGAGTGACCCAACGTCAACCACACGCATAATGTCACGCTGGGGTGAATAACTTCTACTGCAAAAGAACGAGTGGAACGGTGTGATCCAAAGTCGACCGCGCGCATGATATCACGCTGGGGAGACTACGTCCACTGCGAAAACACGATTTGGACAACCACGATTGCTTTTTGTCACCAAGGATGAATCCGCCGAACCACAATCGTGGACGGCGGCGTGTGTGCTGGGGGCACGTGAAATGGGGGAAGCTGCAATCCGTGGAGCAACGGCGTATGTGCTGATGGGATCCGAGAGACGAGAGATCGCACTCCCATGCGATGCGCATCCCCATGGATGCGAACGACGCGCAAGTTGAATCGCGTGGCGCTCCGGGGCGCCGCGCTTCGCTGCGATTGGCGGTGGCATGTTTTGCGCAATCAGGCGGCGGCCGGACAATTGCAGTAGTCTCGCCACGTTGCCCCCAACTGCGCATTCACGATGAGGTAGGTGCAGCGGCACGCCATTCTTGGATCTCTTGCCATGCTGTGTGTCCACGTGTACCGACCTGGCCATGATCCGACTTGCGTCTGTCCGCGTAGTGCGTCCACGACCCCGCAAACAGCCGCACCTGACGCCATGACCTGCAGCTCTGTCGTCATCGCAGACTTGAAAGCGTGGCTTCAAGGACACGGCGTGTCGCTCGAACACTTTGGGATCCACTATTACGGGCCTGAAGAAGGGCATGGCGTTGTCGCCGCCAAAGCATTTGTCCAAGGTAAGATCCGCTGAGATGCTTTGCCGTTCATCGTTCGGTCGTGCAAGGCGAACACACGCTGGACATTCCGTTTCGGCTAACGATGAATGTCCACTCGGCGCTCGCGTCCGACCTGGCTGCCGTCTTCTCCAACGAGACCAATCTCGCGGACATTGAAATCCTCGCGCTGCACCTCATGTACGAAAAACAAAAGGGAACCGCGTCGTTCTGGGCTCCGTTCATTCGGTACGGCTTCCTTTCTCCAAGACAGTCCGCTTGACGAGGACGCTACTGTGGATGGCAGGAGCTTGCCAGCTACGTTTGACACGCCCATCTTCTGGACCGACGAGCCCTTTAATGCGTTGAAAGGCACGAACGTGTCGCTGCTCGCGTCCATGATGAAGCAACAGATTGTGGCCGACTACACGTCGATCCACACGCCGATCTTTCAAAAGTACCCGGCTTTGTTTCACCGCGCCTCCCTGACCATGCAAGAGTACAAGTGGGCGCTGTCCGTCATCTGGTCACGCGCATTTGGCATCACGAAAGGCGGCCAGTACCTCCAGGTCCTATGTCCCGCCATGGACATGTTCAACCACGACGTGCTACTGAATCGACCACTCGACGACTTTATCGTCTTTGACGAACAGACGCAGGTGCGACGTCCCGCCCGACCGGCGCGTTGTCGAGCGATGGAATCGATGTTTAGATGCTTTGCCACCGGCTACACGTCGACTGCGTCGCCAACACGCCGCTCCACATTTGCTACGGGCCGTACTCGAACGCAAAGCTCCTGTACTCGTACGGATTTGTCGTTCCCGGTGCGTTGAACCAAGCATGTCGCGGCTGACGCCCCGGTAGGCAACGCACGCCGCGGCATCGACTTTTGGGTCAATGTACCTACGAACGACCCGTACTACAAGCTCAAAAAGATGCTGCTCGACTCGAACGACATGACGGCCCACCAAACGTACGATTTTGAAGGGACCTTGCTCGGGTCGACCGTGTCCGAGAGGTTACTCGCCATGGCGCGGATTGTGCTCATGCAGGAGGACGAAATACATGCCCGAAACAACGTACGAAACAACTACGAATGGCATGCTTGGGCAGGTGGCGCTCATGGATACGCTAGGCGTTCCACCAAGCGGTAATCAGTCGCCGCAACGAAATCGCCGTCTACGACAGCCTCACGATTGCATGCCGCCGCAAGTTGCAAGCATTCACCACAACGTACGTGTCGTGGTCTCGATCGAGTCGTCACGTTGTGTGCTTGTTGTAGCCTCGAAGACGACATCGCGACGCTCGCCGCCGGCAATTTGTCGCAACAAATGGCGTTTGCGCTGCAAGTGCGAATCGAAGACAAACAGGTCCTCGAGGACACCATCGGCACGCTGGCCAAGTGGAAGGCATATCTTGTTGCCCATCCCGACGAGAACGTGTACCCGCCGCGGGATTGCATGGCGTGCTGACCGCTTCAACGCGACTGTCTCTCCCTTTGTCCACTGCTGTCTCCATGGCAGGTGCCCTTTCGTTCCGGTGCACATGCAGTAAGATGCGCTTGGTATGTTGGTCGAAGTCCTCTGCACGCCTTGTAAGGACCTTCTCCATGACACGTGCACGTCTTGGGAGGTTCAAGTTGCGTCCGACATTCGACGGTGTTGCAGTCTTTAGTGTTTGAGAAGGTGTGCTGGATCAGCATGACCGACCAGAACGCGTCTGCGTGCCTGGGGTGAGGCTGGAGCAACTCGAAGGACGTGGGCCCAAATGCGCGAACCTTTGCACATAGCGTTTTCGACATCAAAAAGGCTCGTTTCAAGCAGTGAGTCGATCGGAGCGCGTGGAAGCTCCTGTAGATGTCGCTTCCTCAAGTTAAAGTTTCAATGTTTGATGTGGCAACGAGGAGTTGGCCACGTCTTCCCTCGTCATGGCGACTTGCTCGTGTTTGGAATGGGTACAAGGCATCATGTATTCATTAGAATTTGACTCCGTTCTCGGTGAGCTTCTGGAACGCCTTGGCAAAGTCCTTGTGCCACACGTCTTCATCCTTGGCGTACAAGTCGACGTACTTTTTGAACTGCGGGTCCCACAGGAACGCCATGTCGGCCGGAAGCATCATGAGGTCGCCGGTCGGGTCCGTGTACTGTTCCGGGCCATCCCACTTCTTGAGCGTCCACTTGTTTTCAACCAGTTCGCGGAAGTATTCGTTCGAGAACGTCGTCTCTGCGCGAGTCCATGGGCCGCTGTAGCCGCTGCGGGTTGGGTAGCACCGGCCAACGGCGTGCGCGCCGATCAGTGCGACAATTTCCCGGTCGTTGAACCCCATGCGGTAAAACACATCCCGGATGTGTTTGATCGTGTTGGGCTTGGAGCCCTTATCCGCCGCGGGGAGACGGTCGTCGGGCGTGCACGCGGTTTGAGAAGGCGCGTCCTTGCGCCCCAATCGAAATGGCACTTCAGGACCACCCATTTCCGAGATCGCGACGACACCAGCATAAATGTACAAATCAGCATGGGACAGCGTCGGGTACTTGGCCTTGATGGCGTTCAGCTTCTCGATGACGATCACGAGGCCGTGGTTGCCACCGTGGTTGATTTCCGGGTCGTGCCGAATGGTACCGCCCTTGGAACCGCCGCTGCCGTCCACTTTGCTGTACGTGCCAGAGGAGTGCCACGCCAATCGGATCAACGTAGGAGCTAGCGAGTTGTCGGACTCGATCAACGCCACAATGTCATCTCGGACTGCCGCCAAATTGACGGGCTTCTCCTTGGCGTACAAGAGTGTGGCCGACGTTGCAGACGCCAGGAGGAATGCCATCGACATGGCAGCGGCATTCGACGCCTTGGCACGTGGAAGAGAAGCGGCGTGGAAGCTGCGGGTGAGGACAGCGGGCGCCGCTTGGCGGATGCTTGGGCCCATACGGGCGGCGGCTCGAGAGGCGACTTGGCGAATCATGGCAAATTGAAAACTGACGATCTTTGCTTCAAGGTCCAACTCAGGGGGGTACTTTATTGGGTGGAGTACTTGCGCATTAAAATGGACTGCACCCCTTTTCGTATTGAATTTATCCAACACAGTAGACTAACTTTAAAACCAAATTATCCTTTCTTGAAAGTACTTCCTTCCTATAAAGTTCGATTGTTTTGTCGCTGAATTATATTTTGGCCTACTAGTATTCACTCGATGCGCATTGAATTCAACAGAAAACTTATTTTTCTCACGATCTTTTTTAAGATCATCCATGGAAGAGAGGGATGGTTCGATTTCGACTGAACGCTTGTCGCAAACGGCGGGGGGGGGAATGGGCCATGGTAGTTCCTGCTTGCCGTGCTCCGGTGCAGCTTTCTTTGGCTCGTGACAATTTAAGTGGTGGGCAATGGAACCACTAGCCAGGGCCACCCTTCCTTCGGCGTATGCCCCAGTGGCCCCCCTGTGGGTGGTGTACACAACCAATCAGTTGTTCCAACCTGCGACTTCTAGAGCATATGCGACGATGAACCCGCACCTCTGACCTTCACTCGACTTCGCTGCCCTCGCCGCATGTGGGTCGTTCCAGCTTGATTCTACGCAACGCGGCGCCACGTCTACTTGCTTTAGTGAACAATGACGCTTCTCCATCTATTACGACTGCCGCGGACCGACCTTGGATGCGGCCATTCAGCAGACAAAGTGTGATTCGGATATGATATCCGGATAGCAGTCGTTGAAGTTGGGCACTTTTGACATGGATTTTGTGCCTTCGTTGTGAGGCCCTCGTCACTCTCGCAATTGCCAGCACCGCCCTGCGATGTTCCGTCAGGTGGCTTCCCGCGCGTCCCGGCTCGGCGCTGCGTCTACGATCGCCCGCGCGACAGCCCCTCGTGCTCTGTCGCGCAAGATTGTGACGGCGTCGTCGCCGTCGACTTCGTCCAAGGCCGTGAATGCCACGGCCTTGTCTGCGGCAGCGTTCCTGTCTGCCGGTGCCTCGCTGACTCTCCTCCATGCGAAGGAGCAAACGGTTGACGTAGCTAAGGTTCGTGCCGAAATCGCGTCGCTCATCGAAAAGGACGCGTACCTTGGACCGACTTTCGTCCGACTCGCCTGGCACTCGTCCGGCACGTACAGCAAGAAGGACAACAGCGGCGGCTCCAACGGCGGCACCATTCGCCATGACCCTGAGATCAACCATGGCGCGAATGCTGGATTGGACACTGCGATTGCGCAACTCGAGCCCATCAAGCAGCGTTTCCCGGGCATTTCGTACGCCGACTTGTACGTGTTGGCGGGAGTCGTTGCCATCTCGGAAATGGGTGGCCCCGAAGTCAAGTTCCACTTGGGTCGAAAAGACGCCGCGAGCGGTGCGGAATGCACGCCGGACGGGCGCTTGCCGGACGCTGACAAGGGCTCCAAACCCAACACGATCAACCACATCCGGGAAATCTTTTACCGCATGGGATTCAACGACCGGGAAATCGTCGCGCTCGTCGGCGCGCACGCCGTCGGCCGGTGCTACCCATCGCGCAGTGGGTTTAGCGGGCCGTGGACCCGCGCAGAGTGGACGTTCTCGAACGAATACTTCCGTGAGCTGCTCGAGAATAAGTGGACGCTCAAGAAGTGGAAAGGCCCTGAGCAGTACACGGACCCGACGGGCGAACTCATGATGCTGCCGGCGGACATGGCGTTCATCTGGGATCCAGAGTTCAAAAAGTACGTCGAGCTGTACGCCAAGGACGAAGACCTGTGGCACAAAGACTTTGCCAAGGCGTTCCAGAAGCTGACGGAGAACGGCGTGGACATCGAGAAGACTGGCTGGCGCCGCTACATTTTCTTTGGCCCCCGCGGCGATTAAGTTGCATGGAGATACCTGTTTAGCAGCGGCACAATCCATTAATGTGTTATCGAAACATGCCCAGTACATGGTCAAGCGCTTCCACTCCTTAATCCAAGCGCTGATACGTATAACCGAGCGAGCCCAATGCGCGCCGCGCCACAATGAAGCCAATGCCGCCGCCCACCGCAAGGCCAGACACCAGCATCAGCATCATCGGGACATGTTTGACTGCTACAACACACATCACAAATCCGACAGGTCACCTTGCCCGACCATCACGACGAGGATCGATGCACACTTTCAGAGGGAAATGCACCTGGGACGCTATGGTTGGACGTCGTCGGCACGTCGCAGGACGGCATTTCGTCGACGAGGGCGACGAGCTCCCCCACCGGACATAGCTCTACCAGTGTTTCGGTCATTCAGTCTGTTCACCGTCGTGAATTGGCACCGTTGGTACATCGGCCGAGCAAGACGGGCTGACCTTGATACAACACGCGCACGAAAAACCGATGGGCTGCATCGGGTGATGATTTGGACTGGTAAAGTTCAAAGATCAAGTGGCTGGCGTACGGCACCCACTCTGTGAGCCACGCTGTGCCTCCAAGCGCGGCAAGGAGGGCCATGAGCGACGAGTCATGGGCTGCACGACGACGGCGTCAGTCGACCTAAGCACACTGCCAAAAATACCAGCATAGAGGGCGAGTCGCAGATGCCGCTGGTTGGGAATGGTCGCTGCGACGAATCGAGACATGACAGCCTGGAGAAATTCCTTCATGGCGATCTTGGAATAGATGCTGTCCCGGAAAACGTATTGCATGATCGCGACCGCTTCTTCACGCTTGGCAGCGAGATGGAAAAGTTCGTCCGAGAGAGGAAGTGGCCGGTTCGTGCACCTGGCAACCACACAACACACGTCATGACGACGACGAACAGGACCTTTATCCGAGGGGCAGTTTACTTGGACGTCATCAGGCAGTCGAACAAGCTGTTGGAGCTGTACGATGCCAGCGCTTCTTCCAGCGCCCAGTCGAGGTCAACGTTTGGCGGCTCCATGCGCCATTCCTTTGCACGCAATGAATGAGATATGCCCTCAACTGGTCAGGGCTGCTGGAAGGGTGGACACTCACATGGAGTTCGGAGCTCGACAACCAGTCTGCGGCCACAGACGCCAGCGCGGGACAGTTGGCTTCGTTGGGGAAGATGATCGAGACAGCTTTGTCTTGGGTGTGCCATGGTACGGGTTGCTTGGGGTATGCCACCGTTGGAAACATCCCTTGCACGATGGTCTATGGGGCCTCAGGTTCAATGGGGAATTCGAGATGCTTGGTGACCTGTCCCGACTGCAGCGTCCGCGGTACGTCGCTACTTTCAAAGCGCACATCTACCCCACGCACAAAACATGATGCGCATTTGGTCTTGGGCAAGGAGCGGACAGTCCGTACCAGTGGCGTCGGTCACATCGACAGCTTCGTTCGGCGCGAACAGTCCACGCTCTGCCGTGACGTAAGCGTCGCGGAAATGCCTACCATGTCGCGAAATATTCATGAAAACTGACGAGATACCGTGTACGCACTTGGCATTTTGAAGTTCTTGGTGGAATCCTTCATCAATGAGTTGGCCGACGCTGCAGTTGCCGCGGCGAATGTTGCGGCCACCTGTGAACACTTTGGCAAACTCGAGGTTGTAAGTCGACTTGTCGTGAGAGCCATCGAAATCTGAGAGGACTGGTCGCGACAGCTCTCGCATATTGCAATTCCATTCTTCATTGTAATCTTTCCAACACACGTCGGGGAAGCATGGCGCGCGCGCGCCATGTCGAACTACAATTTGCACTTGCACAAGCTCCACGGACGACGCCAGAGAACGCTCCAGCGGCTGGATTGCGCTCAAGCTCATGTCCTTGGCGCAGTACGCGGGGTACTTGTGGCTTGACGCATGAGGGAGCAGTAAGATGATGGCGGCAGCCATCGTTGCTCCCATGTTCATTTGAAAAGTCATGAAAGATCCGCAATAAACATCCGGATAACGATGTCCAGTATTATCCGGAAGGACTGACCAGCCAATCTGGCAGTGTTGTCATGCGCATCGCGTCATTCCTTCCCGCGGGCACGACGATCTGCTTCGAGCTTGGGCTTGGCGACGAAGTGGCGTGCGTGTCCTTCGAGTGTAAGGTACGGCTGCGAGATGCCCTTTTGGCCTTGTGGGGACATGCCTCATAGGGATGCACAGTTTCCTCCTGCGGCCAAGGACAAGCCAAAGGTGATTCGGTGCATTTTCAACTCGGACGACCTAACGTCGGCGGAGATCGAATGTGCGGTCACGACAAACCTCGCTGCATCGGTGCCGTTGTACGAGATTGACGAGTCGCTCCTCAAAGACGTCGATGTCGTGCTGATCCAAGACCTCTGCGAAGTGTGTGCGATCGGCCCACCCATGGTTCTCGCCGTGCTGGAGAAGCTCCAAGTCCAACCTCGAGTGGTGTACCTCACTGCACGAACGCTAGAAGGTCTCTACAAAGACGTCATGTCGGTCGCGACTGCCTGTGACGTCGAAGAGCGAGGCATTGCCATGGTGGAGTCGATGAGAGCGCGAGTTAACCGCGTCGAACGGGCGCTCGTCGACTGTACTCCCGTGAAAACGGTGTGTGTTGAATGGTTGGGTACGCCCTCGTTCTGTTGCGTACGCCGCCTTGAACGGCCTGCACTAGCATTCGCTTTGTGGCCAGGCGTTCGTTCAAAGCACACGCAACACACTCATCAATATCTCGTGTAGATCCCATCTATAACGCTGGCCATTGGATGCCAGACCTCGTCCATCGCGCCGGTGGGTACGACCCTCTCGCCGCGCCAGAATCGTTTTCGGTCGCGGTCAACTGGACGCACGTTGCAGAGGTTCGTTTTTTGTTGGCTCCGACAAACCACCACCATCGACAACATGCCAGGCGACCAATACTTGTGGCAATGTGGTTGCAGGCGGGGGCTGAAGTGCTCGTGATCATGCCATGTGGGTTTGACCTGGCGCGAACGATCAAGGATGCAACGGAGACCCTGAGTTCCAAACCCGGGTGGCGTGATATCCCGGCGGTGCGATCCCATCGCGTGTGGGCATTCGACGGCAATCGGCTCTTTAGCGGAGCGTCTCCCGCGTTGGTCGACGGCCTCGAGATCCTCGCGTCGATCCTGCATCCAAATCTGTACACGCTTGGCACGCCCTACGCCAACGACTTTTCCTTGCTCGACATTTAGTGCACCGAGCCTTTGGCCAAGACACACGTGGTCGAGTTGTGTTTTGTTATAACGTCGATTTTGTTAACGAGCTCCACGTCCGACGGCTTGCAATGCCGTCGGAGTGTTGTGGTGTATGTCCAAGAAGTGCAGACGCGGCTACTGCTGCCGCTTGCCGTCGTCAGCAGTCGCGTGAATGAGCGCGTCGACGTTGGCTGAGCTGTATCCGTCGACGTGGTCGGGTTGAATGAGCCGCACGCTGCGCTGTCGCGTGAGATGCATCCGCCGAAAGAGGACGGCCGAGGCGCCGACGAATAGGACGCCCCATACCACTTCCCAGATCGCGACTTTCTCCGGGGCAAACGGCCCAGCATCCGTGAGGTCCATGTACGATGAAAACGCGGACGCGGCAGCAGCCCGCTCTCGGCGGAACCAAAACACGGGCAGGAACGATGCCGTAACGTTGGGAAACCACTTGGTCGTCGGGCCAATCTGGACATTGACCTGCCAGTTGATGCGACTGTGCAAAACGAGGCCAGTCAACGGCTCGACGTCGACGACCGACGTGTGCGTCTGCGCGTCCGGGGTTAGTCCCGAGGCGAACGGAAGGGCCGGAGACGACAAGTTGTACAGATGTGGAGAGGTGAGCGTCACGGGGAGGTCGTCATAGAGCGCCGGATTGAAGCGGAGCCACGCTGTTGGCCACACGTATCGCCGGAGAGCGACGCCAAAACGTGTGGTCACCGTGGAGAACGACAGCGACAGGACTTGCCGGCCAAAGCTCCAGAAGAACGACAGGGACGATGGCGCCCCCGGCGGAAAAACCGACCCGTCCGTGTACCCACAGGACGGATCTTGGTACTCGATCGAACTGCGTGGGCCAGTGGAGGCCGAAGCAACTTGAGCAATCACACAGCCGTACTTGGTGGACGATAGACCTAACGAAATCGTCGTCGTGGTTTGGTTGGCCGTCACGTTGGCGACGAGGGGCGTTCGCTGGGCGAGGGACTCGGCTACTGGAAACTCAATGTTTGGAAGCGGAAGCGTCGACGTCGGTGCGACAGAGTCCGTGGCGGGATTTGCCCACAGCAAACTACGTATGGATTGGTGCGTGAAGTAGCTCCCATGAGGCAGCACGGACGGCCGGTCGTATCCCAATTTTGTTGCAATATGCCACAGGTAGGCTTGCCAGTCCCTGAGTTGCGCCAGGGACACCGCTGGCAGGGGCGCGATGTTGATGGCGAACTGATCCAATGGCGTCGACTGTTGCGTCAAGTACTGGTAGCACATCGAGGTCGAGTTGGTGGTGTTGGTGGAGTTGGCGGTCGCGTTCGTCGCGGGAGTTGGTGTCGGAGTTGAAAACATGCTGCCGAGCGATGCTGCATGCGATACACACTCGTCCAGCGTCCCGAATGGCTGAGCCAAAAACACGTCAAGCACGACGACGCCTCGGGCGAAAGTCAACCCGTGGACAGAAACCTTGGTTTGGTCGGTAAATCGCGAAAGCATGGCCGAGGCTGCATCGTCGTCGATCACGTAGCCAGTGCCCAACGAACAGGACGGCTCCGTGCTGCTGCGTCGATTGCAAAATGTCATCAGCTCCGGAGGCCCACCCATCGTGGGCAACGCGACTGTCTCCACTGCTTGGATTGTTGCGTTCCATGCGTCCGTCGTCCGCACATCAGCTTGGCTGGCAACTGCAGTCGAGTTGAGCACTGTCCCATTGATCCATTGCTGCGTCGCCAAACCCCGGATGGCACTGGAGGGAGGGGCACCAACACGCTGATTCAAGTAGCGGTAGAAGTCTTGCGAGTCGAGAAGCTGCAGCAACCAGACATACCCGATGGTATAGATGGCTTCTTGAACGTCGGCGGGCTTACTGTCGCGAACGATGCCTCGGACTGCTGCGGTGAGGTAATTTAGCGCTGTTGGCGAGGTCTAGCGGACTCGACGCAATGAGCGATGCAACAGCGATGAAGTGGCGCTACCTGTGCCGTTGCCGCAGCAGCACACTGACCGGTCGTCACGTTCGATGTCGCGCAGCCCGTTAGCAGCGTGCGCCACACCTTCCACCCAGATGGATGCAAGAACGACAGCGGAGAATCTCGGTCCCATACGATCTGAGCGATCGATTGCCACGTCGAAAAGTTGGCCGACGGCCCAAGCCCAACTTCAAAGCCTCGCTGCGGGTCAAAGAGGCTCTCGGTGAGATTCGCACATGGCAACACCGTCGAGCACGACGTGAACCTATTGAAGGCGCTACATGAGTTTCTTGCGATGCAAAGGGCGGATGGACCAAACAACCCACCACTTGGACTCGACAAGCTGTCGCAACCATGGATGGGATTGCCATGATGTCAACCATTGCCGGATTTGGTCCACCTGGCACGCAGATAAGCCTGGCATCGTCGGTGTTGGCTCTAGCCACGCCGAGAGGCGAGCCGTGTTGATGAAGGACAACGAGTCGCTGGGGTCCCATACACGGCGCGCGAGGTCGGTAGAAAGCGGAGGACAGACCACGTTGTCGACGATGGAAGCGGGCATAACGTTTCGGCCCACGCTTGTCGTGGTGTTGAACACATACGCGACTTCATAGCCGACCAATCTAACGATGGGTCATGCCAGGACATGGTACATTCTGTCGAGGCCATACCGCGGGTCGAGAGGCAAGATGGGCTGTTGCCATCGCAGAAGCATCAAGTACTGATACGCGGTCGAAGTAGTCGGCAGCCGGGTGAACCAGTTGGCGACCGCTACGACGCTCGATGCGGAAAGGCCGGACACGACAGTCAGAAAGTTTCGCGCGCGGTCGCCCGGTGGTTGCGTTGCGGCCGCGAACGCTTTTCCTAAGTAAACGGATGACTGGAATGCCGTGAGTGTAGCGCCCAGCGATTGCAGTGAGCCCAAGGTCACGGTTCCGGTCACGTCGACCAAATGCGGACAGCCCGTCGCAACCGAGGCAGACGCAAAGCACCACACGACTAGCATCTTGGGATTCAAGAACGAGTATGGAGTGTAGATGTCCCAGAGGAGTCTAGCTTGCGCCATCGAGATCGACACTCCCGCGGGCACAGGCACGGGTAGCTCAAACCCACTCAAATTGGCCGATCCTCCCGTCGTGTCCACGGACGCTACGTTCCATCGCGCCGGGGAATCCGAAAACTGCGTCGTTTGAGTCGACCATTGACTAAGGACATCCCGCCACAGGAACGAATGGTCTGGCCATGACAGCAACCTACCGAGCAACGATCGGTCATTCCACACAGTTCTCAAAGATGGCCCACCACGATGCGATGGCCTGAATTTGAGCGGCTGTAAGTCCCGTTGCGGCTTGAATGTTGGCCACGATCGTGGCATTTGCGACTTGATGTCGCCGACTGGTTTGACCCAGTGGAGGCATCACATCCAGAAGGCGTTCGGAGGACGGAATCTCGCCGGTATACGCCTGCACCCACGCCCCAAAGCCGACGTTGACGTTGTCCGTGTTGGGGGCTAAGAAGGAGTACTCGTTTGCGTCGTGCCAAAGGTACTGCGCCTGACTCAAGGTCGGATATGACGTCGTGGCCATGGCTGGTTCCCACCGCAGTTCAAAGCCCGTGTCGATGGTCGGTGTCCGAGGATCGAGATCAAACGTTTCGATGGTCGCATTGTTTGGGGCGAGCCACCCTCGCAGGACGAAAAGCGACATGAGTTCGTTGTGGCGCCACGCCTTTAACCACGCATTGATCGTGATCAAGTCATCCAGGGACAGACCAGGCGCGTCCACGTGGATCATGTCCAGGAGGGCCGTGAGTTTCGCGGGCGCAGTCGCAGCTTTGGACCAGTACCCATCCAGCGCGGTGGGGTTGAGAAAACTATACGGCTTTGATGGAGTCCACAGATTCTGCACCAACTCGATCGAGGCTGTCGTCGTCGGCGCGTTCATTTCGAAGCCGCGTTGAAGGCCTACCATCAGCCTTATATGTCAGACGCAGTAGATGTGACGAGGGACCACCTGGCATGGCGGGATCGATGTCCGCCATGAGGCACGTGGTGGTCGAGTACACGCGGGACGTCGATGTCGTCGTTCGGATTCCATGATCGCACGTGGTCACCGCTTGCGTCCGTTCAATTGTCATGCTCGTGCCGACATCCGATGCACTGGTCAAGCTATAGTCTGGCAAAAAATACGCCGACGGACGGCCACCGGAGTTCGTGTTAATGTACAGCGTTTCGTTGGAGCTGTCGACGATTCCGGGCTCGCACGACGCATCGGCTACACTTGCCACGGTCGTCTGCGGCAGGCCGACCAGCGTCCCGGTGCCACAGGACGACCCCATCCACAGCCCCAGTACATCTCGGACAAGCACTTCGTTTGAAACCCACGTGGTTACCCACTGGGACACGACCTGGACAAACGAGAGCATGTTACAATCCACGGATAATGCTTTCGGTTGGACCCCACCTCCATCCACGGAAGCCATTGCGCTTGTCCAAATGCAGTGGCGACGGCAGCTTGTGCCGACGTGATCGCTGCAGATGTGCTCGCGGCTAGAAGCGGAAGCCACACGTTTTGGTACCTACAACAAGTCCGTCATCGCATGGAGTAGTCAGAGTGCCTTGAACAGGACGTAAAGCCCTGGATTGTTGGTCTGTCGTACGTGATGGGGTTCACGAGCGATGCCGCGGACGCGGTATTCCACACTTGCAATGCCGCGGTTGGGACTTGGCAGACCGTGCCGTTGGAGGACGCGAGCCCGCACGTCGACAGATTCCGACACAGTTCCCATCCTGTTTGCAATCCATTCCGGTAGGGCTCAACATCCCACAGCTCGGTCGTCCCGCATCGCCACTGAGCCAGTAGCGCGGTCGACACGTGGGGATCTTGGGACATTTGCTGGACATACGCTTGCACCGCCGCGACGTCCGCGAGTGTCGCCGCGCCACAACTTGACGTCAAGACGGTTGAAAACAGAGCTGAGTTTGTGCCTCCTCGCAAGCCCGAGCACGCAACCGTGATCTGTGTGTTCCATGACGTCAGGAGCGATGCATGCGTCGTCGATGAAAGCATCCACCGCCTGTAACCCGTCGGGTTGATGATCGAGATGTCGCTGGAAGCGTCCCACAGCGCGTCGGTCGCTGCAGCAGACAGCGTTGGTCGATTTATCACGAAAGGAGCTGAACTCGGCAAGAACGGGAACGATGCCGGATCGCGCCACCATTGATGGATTGCTTGCTCGACAAGCGCATGGTCGACCCATCTTTGCAGCCACGACGATACCTACAACACCGATGGAAGCATGAATTCACGAAACCTCGTCATGGATCGATCGCCAAGTCACCTGGCGGACGTGGTCCTCCGAGATTGTGCCCATCCCTAGCGCGTTGAGCGCGGATGTCATGTCCGCTAAGCCAGTGGGGCTGACCGTAACAGCTTTCCAAAGGCTGAATCCACTTGCCGTCACAAACGCGTTGGGGTGCGACGATGTCCAGAGGGCTTCCGCCAACGCATCGGGCCACAAGAGGTTGGGATCGTACGAGAGTTCAAAACCGTGCTCAACAACCGACGAAATGGACGGCTCCAAGTTGAACAGCTCCAACTGCGTTAAGTTGTTGAATGGTGACGGTGGCGTGCCCCCACGCGCCCAATGGCGAACTGCCTGTCGCTGAAGAGTCGAACTCGCGACGACACCGCCGAGCCACCCCACGAGTTGGGTCAACTAGAAAAATCGCATGTTTAACTCTTGAGCAAGTGGTGCTGCGTGCGACGTGCTTACTTGCGGCGTGGTCAGTCCAAATGCAGTCGCTATGGCCGTTTTGGCCGTGCCGTCGCCAGCGATGGCCATGGACCATTGAATAAAGCCTTGGGGACTCAAGAATGACGGCGCGACGGTCGCATCCCACAGGCTTGCAATCGTAGCTTCCGACAGCCCGAGGTTCGTCCCGCCGATCGCAATGACGGAAAATCCGGCTTGCATACCAGCGGTGCCCAAGTCCAGGTCCACATCTGGCTCAGCGTTGCTGTTCGCCGTTCGCTTGGCGTACTGCTGAGCCCAATACCTGCAAACGAGACCAGACGTGAATCGAAAGGATTGACTGGTCATCATGTTTGCTACCGCTCCCTGTCGCGTTGGAGGATGGAGCTTTGGCTCCAATACAGAATGTACTCTCGAATGCCGTCGAGTTGGGCCATGGTCAGGTAGTCGTTTTGCGTCGCGACTTCGTTGTTGACGCCGGCAAGCAGCGTTGCAATAGCGTCTGTGTCCATCGCGACGGCGCGCTTCCAGAGTCCAAATCCTCGCGTCAAGTCTGCCGGGTCGTACGTCAGGAGCGAGAACTCAACGTTCGCTTTCTCGTTAAACAACAACGCGGCGACGTCGACGCTCAATGCCCGAGACGCTGTGGAGCTAGTTACACCACCACACAAGCCCCATCACTCGGTGACAAGTCGAGGTACGAAGATAACGAAGCCCACGTACTTGGCGACCGTCGGAATCGAGTTGAGTTCAAATCCATATCGTGCCGTGCCTGTCGGTGTCCCTCCAACGAGCGAATCAACATTTGTCCACGTCGCCGGCGAACTGGACAACGAATGGAGACTCCACTGCAGCAAAATCTGCTGGCGTGCGGCGGCTGGCGACGTCCTCTGGGACACGGCCGCTTGGACGAGTTCGTTCTTGATCGTGTTCAGCATCGAAGGCACCGCTTCAAAACGAGCTAAACGGCAAATATCAGACTTTTCACGCGTGCGACCACACCGCACCCGCTTCCATGTAGCTTCGCAAGATGGAAGGAGGCGCTATGTTGGCAAGAACGCGAGGTAGCATCGTCGAGAGTACCGCGGGCGTCGCGTCCTGCCGCAGCAGACGCTTGCGCGTTCGAGTCACGGTCGGCACGACTTCGACCGTCAACCGGTTGACTACGTTGGACAGAACGCGCGGGACGCTCAGCCGAGACAGGGACTCGTACTGCGCAGTCAGCGTGGCTGGTATGTACTGGACGAGAAAGCTGTCGTAGAGCGAGGTGAGCATTGTCGGGACGCGAGCTTGCCGAACGTGCGCTATCAGGTGTGTCGTGTGTTGGGGCAACGATTGCGACGCGACATTGGCGCGAAACGATGACAGCGCCGATGGCAACGCGGCTTTGCGCACGGCGTCGTCCATCGAGTTCAAGTATGGTCCCAACGCGTTCTGCTTTGTCTGGGCAAGGAACGGCCCACGGAAGAACGACTCGAGCGACGAGAGCTGGGTGTGTGCAAAGGATGCGGCAAGCGTCCGCTCGGAGAAACCCGCAGCTGCCAATTTAGCCAACGTCCGGGCGTACGTAACATTGACCTAGTGGATAAAAAGTAGAGTGCCGAAGCGGGCAATGTCAGGGTGATCCTACGCTCGTGACAACGTCTGCTTCGGACCCGTTCGACCGAAGCGGATCAAATTGAAAGGAGGACCGCACGCGGTACGACACTGTTGCAGGTGTACCAGACGAGACTGCGACGCTGAGTTTCTCGGACGTCTCGGTGTACACATATGGCCCAACTTGATGCAGCGCTGGCAGTGCCCCTTGAAGAACGTCCTCGATGTTCGTGACGTTGAACACGTAAAAGCTCGTCGACTGTGGCTCTTGAAACTGGTAGCCCAGACTGGGGCTCTACGTGCGACGCACGACATGTTAGAACCGCGTGCCTAAGAGACAGCAACACTCAAGTGCAGACGAACCGCCAGGAAAGCCGCGTACGCTGCGGGATCGGCAGGAGTTGGAAGCTGTGGCTGCGCCAGCTGCACCCTCTGGGCTTTGAACGTGACATTCAAACTGCCAAACGACAGCAAGACAATTCCGATCACCAGGAGGCCCACCGCGACAACCACACACATGCCTCTCTTCCTCGTCCTCTCCAACCGCCAAGTTGACGTCGCAGTCGGCAGCAAACGTGGCCGTTTCACGTTGTAACGGGCGGTACATTGCCCTTTCGCCAGCTTGAAACCGGCATCCAATCGTCATGGGAAACTGCGACTCGTGTTTTTTCTCTAAATTATTGCGCAAGAAAAAATCGAGGAAATTGAAGAGTGGAGATTAAATTCGAGTTGTGGCACACTTGTTTCACAGGCTCCGCCACACGATTTCACGAGGCTGCAACCAAAGTACTCCATGAAGCAAGGCATGGGCGTTGCTGCAACGATATACGAGCGCAATGCCAACCCCACGAGTCGAGTCGAATAACACCTTTGAACGATGTAGGGGCGAACAACATCTATACGGATGGCCACCTTATGTCGTCGAGATTGATGCGTCAGCGATCGCACGCAGCTCTCATTGACGATATCGACATGGGCTCGTCAAGGTCATATCGAGAGCGACCTCCTGGCTCGACATGTCATTTTCTGGAGATTCCATGCATCCAATACACCTTTGCCTCCCACTGATATCTGTTGCGTATGGCAGGCTCGGTCACAGATGGCCCTGCTCGTCAGCGGGTTGGTTCATGCAAAGGACGCTGCTGAACGGTAGGGCAATCATCCTCTTCCCGCAGCGCGAACGAATGCCCGTCGTGTTGTGTGCCCCCCCCTGAAAAAGATGGTGAGCCGGATACTTTGGAGTGGGAGCTGAACCATGTATCCGGATGACCCCGTAACGGTCGGTGGGGACGGAAGCAAATGTCAACGGCACCGACGGCGTCGCAGCAACGCGACGACGCGGCGGAGATTGCGTTCGCTCTTAGCTTGATCCAGGCAGACCTTATTTCGGCGAGCGAGACTGTCAGTCGGTCGTCTCTGGAAGAGTGGTGGGGCCGAAGAGCTCCGCTGCCATCCGCCGCGACGACCGGGCCACGTGCCACATCGATCGTCGACACCTGGGTGGCAAATGGATGGATCGAAGAGATCAAACCTGTGTCTTTGTCTACGTCGACACCACCAACGTACTCCCTCCGCCTCTCGGCCCACGCGCTTGGACCGTTGGCAGCACGACCTCCTCGCAGAGCGGGAGACAACTCCGGCATGTCTTTGCCCGACGACAGCACCTCCATGCATGCCAAAGCACGTATGGTATGACCCATTGAATTTTTTCTTCTATCGATGGTCATCCCGTCGATCTAGGGGGCGCTCTTCGACGCAACGTTCCCATCCCTCGGCCCAGCCTCCAAGAAATCCTTCACCAAACTACATGACCCGACCGTGATATTGTACGCCACAATGGGCCTTCAGTTGGTCGTGTCCGGGGCGGCGACAGTCGCGACGTTTTCTCGGGACATGAAATCAATGGGCGTAGACAGTCAAACCCGAACGATCGTGACGAATTACTTAGCCAAGTCCATCCCCACCACCAACTTGATTCACCAGCCACTGCCCCACCACTCTCTCCGGCCCCTCGCTTGATGGACCGACCCCCGGCTGGTACCTTTCCCCATGTTTATTTGGCTTGTTAGTCGTGCTCCGCGACGGTCTCAGTTGGATGAACCAGTCGGGCAAGCTCCAGCGAGCTGACAAGGCCAATATCTTGGTGGAACGACAGCTTGATGAAAGTCGCCAACGGTGGCGTCGACACGTAGCCATTCAAGTAGGTGGCAAACTACATCCAACCATCAGAATCAAACTTGTTGGAATGATCCGCAACTTGCTTGTGCCTCCCCCCTCATCTCTCGATATTTTACCTTGGCGTGGATCTTGGCAAGCAGGCCCTGGCGCTTGGACACGCCGCCGCCCAGCACAATCACGTGGGGCGACACGGTAAGCGTCAAGTTCACACAAACGTGGGCGAGGTAGTGGGCGACGACGTCCCACACCGGATCCGAGTCGGGAATCTCGTGCAATGCGGTGCGTTCGACTTTGGTGCGGGCAGCGATGGCGCCTGACGCCGCCATCCCTGCATGTGGATGGAAGCATCAACCAGAAGCAAAGAACGGCTTGTTCATGGTACCTTCGGCACAGGACGAGTGGAATGGACACAAGCCTTGGAAGTTGGTAGCGATGTCCGCGGTTGCCAACGGCACATACATATGCCCGGCTTCCGGGTGCATGTTGCCATGGACAGCCTTGCCATCAATGCACACACCAACACCGATGCCTGTGCCAACAGTAATGTAGCACACACTTGATACGCCAGGGCCGTGGCCACCAAAGGAAGCTTCAAACAGCGCCGGCGCGTTGACATCGGTCTCAAAGTTGATGGGGACGCCACTATACTTAGCCCGAAACTTGCCCACGATGTCTAGGCATTCATGTACGGTGTGAGGTACTCATCTCAAATGTGTCGAAACCTCTACGAACTCGTGTTAGCCCAGTGTGGCTTGGGGGTTGTCGTGATGCAGCCGTAGGTGTTGCTCGTAGGGTTGAGATCCACAGGACCAAATGACGCGATGCCTACAAGTCGCCGTCACGTTGACTGCAGATCAAGTGCGCGGTGCACAGCAAACATCCCGCGCTGTTACACAGACGCACCGATCGAATCAAACTCTTGCATATCGAGCCAGGCGAACGCCTTGGCAATCGTTTCGTCGGGAGTCGTGGTGTCGATGCGAGTCCGTGCCACGATATTCAAAGGATTGTCGTGCGCGATTGCAATTGCCCACGTCGTGCCTCCCAGCTCAACCTACATGCTCGTGCATCAATTGGGTCCGTGTCTGGCGCCAGAGGATGGTGCGGTACCCCCGCAAACCTTCGTCCTGCTTTCTCCGCCATGTTGTTGCAATTTCTTCGTGAGCTTCGGTGTATCCCGAAGCATCTATTCAATATTATATAATTTCGTTCATTTATGCATTAAAATTGCTTTTCAACTTTCAATGCGGCACAAGCTCTCTGTTGTGGCGGGAAACTCGAGCGCTGATCAAGCGACGTTCACGCGGCTTAGACCTGGTCGCGAGCACCGCTCCGCCTTGTGAGCATGAACACAAACACATTGTCGTTGTCAAAGTTGAGTCCCGTCATGGCGTCTGTCGAGTACAGTTGGATCGAAAAGAGCTTGGCCAGGCCAAGGAAGACCTGTTCTTCGCGTCTAGACGGGGCCGCATACACGACGTTAGTAGGACAGCCTTATCTTCGAGATGATTGTAGACTTGTTGTAGCTGCGTACTCGGGAATTCGTTGCTTGTACGCTAAGAGCACTCGGCTGCCGCTCGTGGTCATATCAATGAGAGATTGGACAAAATCGCCAAACACAGATGGCTCGTACAAACAATCGGCGCACAGAACGAGGCCAAAGGAATGCTTTTGGCTCGGTGGCGCAGCCCCCCTGCGCGAAGCAAGCCACGAGTGAGACAGGTGATGGGTATGCGGAAGCCTGTACCATTTGAATTCGCGCACCCCCACGTCGAGCGAGGCAAACACGGCCGGATGGTCTTGAACCGCTCGTTGGGTATTCAAACGTGCCAGCGGGAGGATCGAGTTGAGGTCCGTCAACAATAGCGACCGAGGCTTGAAGAAGGCCGCTGCCAAGCTGGCCGCGCCGCTGCCGCATCCCATTTCAAGTACATCCTGACCAAGGACGAGTTCGGGATGCCGCGACAAGGTCTGGACCAGCGCGCGTCCCTGTGCTGTGGTCAAAACTAGGACATCGATCCACTTGTCCACTTACACAATTCCAGAGGACTCCGCCGACACCAAGCCCCATGTCTTGGGCGATCGTGAGCCGCGCATTGTTGGACGTGTCGACAACGACCTCAATCTCCTTTCGACTGGCTTCTAAATAGTTTACGCCCAACGTTGGTGTAGCTGCCTTGGGCCGCGCGAAGAGCGGCGACGCGGCGGGCGTCCACGCCACAAACGGCATGTTTGGATCTAACGGCAGTACCAAGACAGTTTCATGTTGCATTTGAGCTAATTCGATTTCTTGGCTTTCGCCAGCGACACCAACAGGGCCACATCGACCCCCGAGGTTTTGGGACTCACGACGGCGGCATCTTTTGCAGCGCTTTCGGCAGGTAGGCAAGAGTTGACCACACCCTTCGTTGCGTCTACCTGTGGAGATGGCACGCCCTCCACGGCACCATCGATATGGTGTTTGCTGTGTTTCGCCAGGTGAACCAGGTCATCCACGCTCTGGCTGCTCACAACGGTGGTGTCACCTCGATGAGTCATGTGCTTGGCCGAGGCGATGGCGTCCCGGACAATAGGCACAATGAGTTCGGTGGCATACCTAGGCAGAGTGTCGTCACACCACAGGATGACATGTGGTGCTCGGTCACTGACTTTGCCAAGTGCTCACCGACGGCTTCCCCAACACCTCGCGCCACGTGCCCCCCCAGACGGCCTCCCATCGCGCCTCCCACAACCTCGCCCATGAACCCGCCCGCGGCAGCGGCCAAATTTGGCGCCCCATTCGACTTGTTCGACCGACGGTTGGATGACATGACCACGTCGAGTGGAAAATTCATATCCCACGGCAGGCTCACGCGTGCCCATACTGGGAGAACCATGTGGGCAGCAAGGGCCTCCTCAAGCTCGGCGCTCAGCAATGCTCCCAGCTGCGGCAACGGCTCGACCTAACCACGGCTCGTTGGTGTCGAAAGATGCTCGCGGTTTGTGTACTTGTGGTGGACAACTCGTGACGGATAGATGGAATGTCGGGGTACGGTCAAACGCAACCCAGCCGAACCCTGGGTCTCGAGATGGCTCGGGAACAAACAGACGAACTCTACACGCAGGAGTTCGCTCGATGCGTAGGGGGGACATGTCGTACCGGCACTTGAACCCCCCGACGTGAAGTCGAAGGGATAGCGTAGTTTGGTGATGCACAAGGCTGGACAGGGTCACCCGCGTTTGCACATCGATAGTGCCGTGTCCATCGTACTCGATGTTGGCAGAAGCGCACTAGGAACGAAGTCGACTTTGTGGCCAGGACAGCGGACCGTACGGCACGTACCAACTCGTGCGGCTGCAGGGTGGGATGAAGAGCTAGGTCGGACACCCGCGGTGGATGCGAGCCAAGGACTAGGTTCGTGATGCTGACGCTGTCGATGACTTTGACATCGACAGCCTTGGCTTGCACCATGCGCTCCAACTTCCACGCCAAAGTCGCCAGCAGCTCGGAATGGGTCCCGTACTCGTCGAACCAGCGACCCAGGACGAGATTGAGCCACGAAACATCGACTGAAGTCGTTGTGTGCGATGGAGCCGAGGCAAAGGCAAGGGAACCGGCCTCGGCCACTCCATGCAACCGCTCCGCTTCCGTGTCGTCGACAGCATTGCTGTGTTGCAACATCTAACCGTAGGCCGTTCGTGTAAGAGATGGAGCGCTAGAGGTGAACAGACCAACTGACACAAGTTGTGTCGGGGATGTAACCAAGCCTGAAGCGTCGATACGCTCAAGTAAACCGACGGAGAAAACAGACAGCTTGTCACTTGTACAACAAGGTCCAAGGGCATAGTTACGTGAGCGCGAACGATGGCTGAAATGGACTGGAGGGCGCGGAATGCTCGTCAGTGGACGTTCATGAAATCTTCTGGCAACTTACTTGCATGATCACGCGTGGCGTTTTGCCCAGCGCTGCATAGGCCTCGGCAAGCTCGGTGAAGGCCGACTTTGGGGTTTCGCCATGCAGATCGATGCCTACGCTAGTCGTTGGGCAGCCTCTCCATGGGTTGGTGGATCTCTACCTTGAATGGCATGTTCAAGCCGCTGCATGTTGTCCGGACGGCATAAGCAGTTCATCAAGTGCGTAACTTCGCAAGAAGCCAGGAGCAGCTTCGTGGTGCCAGCAAGTGCGTCGAGCAACGCCAAGTCGACCTGGCTGCTGTGCTGCAGTTTTTGCGTGGCCATGGCTCGTGCAACTGGATCCGCGAGGATGACTTTTAGCTGTGTCCACTCGTCCAACGTGAGTGGCCGGGAAGCTATACTTCGGGAAAGAGCGGCCAACGCCCGCCATTGTGAGGCATGCTCGAGCCGAACACATCGTTTGAAATGGAGGTGTGCACGACGACATTTCGCCAATTTCAAGGCCGTGCGGAAGACGGGGTCGTAGCCAAGGCAAAGCGTCGCGGTGACTCCAAGTACGCACCCCATGGCCACCGCGGCCAACATGGCCATCCACCACAACATCCTGGTGAAAGGAGAGAGTCGGTTTCAGACCTCCACCATCGACTGAATCGAGCAACCTGTAACAGCACAATTTCCAGTCGTGTCACTGGCAGCGCAGCGACGACGGAGAGTGCGCAGCCCAACACTCGATCAACTCAAACTGCTGGGGTGATTCATGCCAACCCGAGCGCATATTATGTTGCTCGCCATCATAACACCAATCGACCACTCGGTGAATAAGTTGAAGCAGGGCATTGTGCCGAACGGCGACAAATGCAGTGGCGGCGACAGTCACCGCCGACGAGGTCGACGCAGCATTTGAGACCTTAGGGGCCGTGGTCGTGGCTGTAATTGGTGTCGTCACGGCGGCTTCCGCCTTCTAGTCCGCGACACCACGGCGGTGGTGTTTCCTTTCCCTGAAGGGCCTGGTGCTGATCTGGACAAAGCTTGTCAGGCGTACTTGGGGCCGTGGTTTTATCACCAGACACCATCATGGTGCCCACGGTCCACGTGCAGCAAGGATCGTCCTTTGCCGTTGGAGGCGTCCGTCGATGTCAGAGTCAGCCTTGCACAGTACAGGGGTCCACTTGCCCTCCCCCCGCCGACCGAAGCAAGACCGAGCGCGTTGATCGGACCACCCTGGACGGGCCCTCGTGGTCGATGCCAGACGTACCGGGCAGCTTGTCGCCGTTCGAAAACTTTACGATGATCTTGTAGGTACTGGCGACGGACACCGGAGGGAAAATGAAGCTGACGAGTTGAACAATGGTTTGCTGATGTGCTATGCACGAAGGCAGACAATGGGGGAATGACGTTGGAGCGAGGACTAGCGGAGAATGCAATAAGCGGGCGCAGGTGCTTGAAGTGGCTAGATGGCACCATGCTAATGCTATCGATCGCCGCCACAATCGTCACGATCGTAACGACATTTGGCCGTGGCGAGCGCAACAGCAATTAAAGAATGACCCCGCGAATTGACGATGGAGGCCTTTTTGGTGTGCATTGTATGGCTTGGTTTGGGACATCGCCTCCCGTGGGCAGTCAAGGCCCAGGTATGGAAGGACAGTGTGGTGACGTTGGGATGGCGTTAGCATAGTGCCATCTAGCCACTTCAAGCACCTGCGCCCGCTTATTGCATTCTCCGCTAGTCCTCGCTCCAACGTCATTCCCCCATTGTCTGCCTTCGTGCCTAGCACATCAGCAAACCATTGTTCAACTCGTCAGCTTCATTTTCCCTCCGGTGTCCGTCGCCAGTACCTACAAGATCATCGTCGAGTGTCCCCAACGGCGACAAGCTGCCCGGTACGTCTGGCATCGACCACGAGGACCCGTCCAGGGTGGTCCGATCAACGCGCTCGGTCTTGCTTCGGTCGGCGGGGGGTGGCAAGGGGACCCTTAAGCTGTGCAAGGCTGACTCCGACATCGACGGACGCCTCCATGCCCCGCGGTGACTAAAGTATGCGAATATCATTGTCCGTAAGGAGCCCTTCGCACTCCAAAAATAGTTGGCAGGTGATTTGCCCAGTCGAGCTCCTTCATGCGCAATGAAGAAAGCGAATGACACGATGTTGCAGGCACGCCCAAGCGAGCCTGCCGCCATCGTCCCCTCTGTCGCCGCAGCAAACTCCTCTGTGTCATCCAATCCTTCCATCGCTGACACGACTGCAGATGTCTCCGGACTTCCATCGTTGACAAGTTCCTTCACGGACAAGAACACTTCAGCATCACTGCAAGCTCCTGGCATGAGCACAGCGCATCTTTCGGCTTCACGCGAAGCACCATCTAGTTCTGTGAAGAATGCATATGCCGAAACGGAACCGACGGACACATCCAAACCAGCCGTGACGACTTCTAAACCCAACGAGAACCCTCCACCTTCGTCAACTAGCTCGATAGGCGGCTACGGCATGCAGCCACGACTGCACGTTCCGAGTTCGATGGCCACCGTCTCGGCCGCAATCCGGGACTATGTCGCTGAGATCGAGCCGGAATCGATTGCCGAGGACTTGTCCCTCCACCGTCGCATTCATCATGCCGTCGCCCATCCTTCGTTGGACTCGCATGTCCTGCTCTTGCCTTCCACGTCCCTTTCTACGGTCAATTCGCTCCTCGACGATGCCTTCAAGCATTTGACTGCACTCACTCCCGCCGAAGACATTACGCTCAAGGACAAGTACCACGACATTTGGGCCGATATTGAAGCTGACCGTGCCAAACACCATCGGGACTTGCTCACGAGGCACATGCACGCGTGGGCGGCAACGGCAAAAGGTCGCCACGCAGCTGGGCGGCTCGGCCAGCACGGCCACCAGCGCCGAGTCGTGAGATGTTTTCACGCGTGGCGCCGGCGAAGTGCGCAGCGTCGTCGTGCTGCCGTCAAGTGTTCATTGGCCATGCGAGCCTTTCAAGCCCGCGCGTTTCACGCGTGGATAGCATTGCATATCAGATTGAAACTTGTACGTGGTGCGGAAAGGAATGCGCTCTCTGACCGAGATTTGTTTGGCCACAGGTGATCCGCAAGCACGGGGACGCTCGCCAGCGGCGCTTCAAATGCATTTTCATGGCATGGCGGACCCACGTATCGCGCCGACGTGCTGTGCAAAGGATGGCCGACAGACAAAACAGGACGACCATCGAGGCGTGGTTTCACGAGTGGAAGGCTGCCGCGGCCGTCCGAGGCCAGCAGCGCAGATCTATTCATCGCCTCGGTCGGACGATGGCCAGCGCCCAAGTCGCACACTGCTTTTTTCAGTGGACAAAACAGGTGACTCTGATGCAGGTGGCTGACGCGCTTCGGACTCGCCGCGACCAACGGACCCAGGACGTCCAGCGGACTGTGTTGCAGCGGTGGCGGCGACGAGCCAGGCTTGTTGTTGTCGCTGGCCACCGATTTGATACATGCCAGCGTCGGCAACTCGCCGAGTGCTTCCGTGACTGGAAGGACCGATGGCACCAGTACCGCACAATCAAGCCAGCTACATGGACATGCGAGACGGTCGGATTGTGGTTGGGGGCGGTGTTTCAGCTTCCTCTGGACGCCGCTCGTGCATGCCAAGTCTCCGGGCACGAACTCATGTCGCTACCGTCTCGACTCGCACAGTCTCCGCTGCATGCGCGGGATCCTGTCCTCGAACGCCTGCTCCCGACCCTTCCGCTCTTCTTTTGTTCGGCAGACCACTGCCTGCAGCTCGTCGACGCCATTGCGTCGCTATCGAAAACAAACGCGACGCGGGTGTCCAAGGATATTCAAATGCAGCACCGACTAGCCAAGCTCGAACGTGTGACGGATTTTCTTAGCCTGCGGTACAACCATTTTTCATGAGTCGATCGGGATGGACATGATCGAAATGGTTTCAATGCCCTGTAGCCACTGGTGCGCCCAAGACCGGGAGCTGATCGCGTACGTCCGGCAGCTCGATGCCCTCGGCATGCACTCGTTCCTTCAGTTGGACGGCGAGGACTTGGTGGCGGCTCTCAAGTGTCATCGTCCAGAACACGTGTCGCTGCTCGTGGCGGGGCAACAGCGGCTTCGATCTATCCAGGTGAGTAGTGGCCGCAGTCCACTCCAGGCGGCTCAATCTATTCCGAGCAGGCCACGCACCCCAAGTTAGTGACGTCGCCAGGCGACCCGATCGACGACAGTGCCTCGTTTAGCTTGGCGTCGTGGCTGGATTCGATGCACCTGAGCCAGTATGAGCCAGCGTTTCGCCGGCACGACATTACTTCCGTCGCTCAGCTGAGCCGCCTCACCCACGACATCCTCCGACACACTCTCCGCATCCAATCGAAACTCCACCGCGACCGAATCCTCGAGTTTGCCGCCGACGTCGCCGCCAGCCATAACCAGCACCATCGCGTTCGCCAAGCGCCCGCCTTTCGGCTGAAGCTTGCGCTATCCCATGTCGACCAGCCGCCACCACGATCGAACCATTCGCACACCGGCACGGCCTCTCCGAAAATGGCCATGACCTCCGCAAGCCTTGCAAAGCAAGTGCGGACACTGTTTTTCTCCATCTGCCGATGGTTGGAAGGCCAGAGCCCACCACACCACGCCACTTTAGATCGTCTGTACGCAGCAATGCAAGCCGCGTCGCATGGCCATATCACCAAAGCGAGCTTCGCGCATGGCCTCCGCGCGCTCAATGCTGGGTTCACCAGCGCCCATGTGTACGGCGAGTCATCCATGCGAGGAACTTGTGCGAGCTGTGTGGAATTCTATACATGCGTGCTGTATATGCGTGGATGATATCGTGGCTGAACGTGGGTGTATGTAGCCACGCAATGTGGGAGACCATACCGAAAGCCAAGACAGACGGCCGCGTCGGCTACGAAGCGTTCGTTCGCTTCTTCATCGGTATCTTTGAGCAGCGCCGCGCAATGCTGCAGCTGGCCATTCAATCGCTGGGCGGAGGGCGTCGGGAAGGGCATCATGGAGAATCAAGTCAGGACGGTGGGCAATTGTCGCAGCTTCTCCACGCGCTAGCTCGTAGCGATGATATCTTGGCCCGCGCAGGGGTCATCGTTGCTTCATGAGCGGCATGACGTGTGAGAAGGCAGCATAACAGAAATGGCATCAAACAGACTCGTGGAAGTCGATGGAAGGGTTGTGGATTGTGTGGTATTGAAGTGTAACAGCAACGTCATTTATGCATGGGGGTTCCGCAACACCAAGATGACCGAGTCCCCACGGAGAAACATTTTGCTGATGAAGCGCTCGACGTTCTTCGGCTTGCCCTTGCCCTTCGTGGACTTGGGCACTTCGGTCCACATTTCCTTGACATTTTCCAAGACCCTAAGACGAGAGCAATCGCATCAGACGAGTGCGAAGTCAATGGGGTATGGGGCGATTGCGCGGTACATGTTGCAATGTCTGTCAAACGCCTTGACGCGGGCCAATAACTTATGATTGTTGCGCACGTTGATGAGCACTTGGGAATTGTTCTTGACGCTCTGCATCAACACAGACAGCGGGCCGGTCAGGAAGTCTTCTTCTTCTTCCTTGGTCCCGCGCTTATCGTCAATGCTACACAGATCCATACATCAGATACATCCCCGCCCCCGTCATGTTCACGCAGCGCTCCACCTACGTTGCCATCCTGTGGAGATCCTGTGGGAAACTCAAATTCGCCCTGTTGTTCTCCACCCTTGCTTTGCCCCAGATTTTTGAATCGAGGTTCAATTTAATACGCTGTACATTAAATTATTTTTACTAAATATGACGGTTCATTATATGCTTATATGCTATATTTGACTTTGTCAATAATAAATCGTTTCCAACGTTTGACGAATACCCTATATTTGGATAACCCCGACAATGCATACGATCCAAAACGCATCGTGATATACTGAGCTTTTAAGAATCCTCTATAAATAAATATATGCAACCATCGCTAGACGAGGCTTGGTTGGCTCGCGCGGCAACTCCGAGCCGAGTCGGTCGGTAACTTCAATATCTCCCACCACTGCCGCCATGAAGGTCAAGACGATCTCGCGCGTGGAGCAGACGTTCACGCAGGAGCTAGCGACGGATCGAACTAAGATTCACCGCAACTTTGACCCCAAGTTGCATCCGTTTGAACGTCCACGTGAAGTACGCGCATCATCCCGACCGTTCGCGTGGATTGTCATGTGCCTTGTCTGTAGTATACGCGAGCGCTGAACGCGGTCAAGCTTGACAAGCTCTTCGCCAAGCCTTTTGTGGGCGCATTGGACGGTCATTGCGACAGTGTGAGTTGCTTTGCCACGTCGAACAAGAGCTTGGTCCAGTTTGTCAGTGGTGCGTGCGACGGCGAGATCCGGTTGTGGGACTTGCCTCGGCGCAAGTGTGTCTGGTCGGTGTACGGCCACGGTGGTTTCGTCCGTGGGCTGACCGTTGCGCCTGATGGAAACACGTTCTTCTCGTGCAGTGAAGACAAGTCAATCAAGCAGTGGCGCATGGCGATTGCGAACGAGGACGACTCACCGGAACCGGTTCAGACGTTCCATGGCAAGGAGTCGTTCATGTAAGCTGATCTGTTTCCATCTTCGCGCATTCACGAAGTGTCCTTGTAGGGGCATCGACCACCACTGGTCCAACACGACCTTTGCCACGTGCAGTTCTGTCGTGCAAGTATGGGACCACAACCGATCTGACCCGATTCACCACTACTCGTGGGGCGCCGACTCGATCACCAGCGTCAAATTCAACCCTGCTGAAGTACGTGTTGCTGTCTTCGTTGTACTTTGAGGTTGTCGCTACTGGTGATGGCATCTTCTTTGCCATCTCGTGTATGGAATGGCCTGGTTTGTCGGGTTGTGCTAGACGGTCGACAATTTCCTACTCTCGTTTCGCATTATATGGGTGTCGACTGTGCGGCAGTGGCTTGAGACGTCTTTCTGGCGGCATCTAGGCGAGCTTGCTGGCGTCGACGGGGTCGGACCGCGCCGTTTCTCTCTACGACACTCGTCTGGCACAGAGCATGCGCAAAATTGTGATGGAAATGCGCAACAACGCACTTGCTTGGAACCCCATGGAGCCATATCACTTTACCGTTGCCAACGAAGACCACAACTTGTACACGTTCGACATGCGCAACCTTGACCGTGCCGTCATGATCCACAAAGACCACGTGTCGGCCGTGTATGTGGCGACATCTCGATCGATTTGTCTCGGCCATTGGGCGAGAGCATGCGGTTGATGGCATTATGTGGTTGTTGTTGTAGGATGGACGTCGCGTACTCGCCGACGGGCAAGGAGTTTGTAAGTGGGTCGTACGATCGCAGCATTCGCATTTTCAACGTCCGCAGCGCCAAGAGCCGCGAAGTGTACCACACCAAACGAATGCAACGGTGGGTCCACAAAATTGCCGGGTGGATGCACCGTGGAGATCTGATGGGAGGGCTTTTCCTGAATTGTAGGATCTTCGCTGTTAAGTTTAGCGCTGATGCCAAGTTTGTGTTGTCGGGCAGTGACGACACAAACATTCGTATATGGAAAGCGCAGGCGTCGCGCACGCTCGGGAAGGTAGGGCCGGTTTGGATGGCTGGACCTGATGGATCAATGCACTAGCTCAACCCACGAGAACGCAAGAAGCTCGAGTACAACGACGCGTTGAAGAAGCGATACCAGCATCTGACTGAAGTCAAGCGCATTGCCAAGCACCGTCACGTGCCCAAGGCTATCAAGAAGGCCGCAGCCGCCAAGCAGGAGGGCAAGGAGCGCGAGACGAAGAAGCTGGCAAACGTCCGGAAACATTCCAAGCCCGGCAAGGTGCCTCTCGTCGACATCCGCAAGAAGAGCGTCATTCGCCAAGTCGAATAAGTATTTTATGTCGCCACGCTTGTGGTCATATCGCAAACATCTCAAAATACGTTCCCGTGCGCTTCGATGGGCTGATCCTGCCAACGTCGCCCACAGCAGGCGAATACATACTCCTGTCCATTACATTTCGCCGTGGCGTTTAAACCAAGCTTTCGAAGTGATGCGGCTAGAGCAAACGGCCCGCTCGACGGGGTTATGTAGTAGCTGGCTCTCCTCCACGCAACTTGCATGAACCTGATTCTGGGCTCCTGCAGCTGGTAGCGGTCGTAGTTTCATGTAAATTTTTATCCAATCACAAAGACTCTTACGTTATTTTTGAGCCAATAAAAAGTATCGACAATGCTTCAACCAACAATATATTTGCACAAATCTATCAACCTCGATGTGGGTCGACTGGCCAAGGGAAGGTAGGTAGGTGGGAGCAAATTGTCTTGTTCCAATATCGATAGTTAGTTAGGGGGTTGTGGTGCATCAAGTCGACCACGTGATCTCGACTGGCTGCTGATTATCGACACTCGGCTAACATATTTCACCGACCCGTGGCATCCCGGAGGCGATGTGATGCAGTCCACACAACACACGTGCCCACACAAAAGCATCCGTTGAGGAAGGAGGCGCCACCAATTACTACGTGTGAATCCAGTCGAATGTTTTGCAGAATTTATAGGCGTATGGCTCGCGAGTCCTCAGTGGCCTTTCACACATTGAGTTGTTATATCATTGTTTGAATCGTGATTAGGTTGAGCGGACGGACTTGCCCAGGTCTAGTTGTGCTGCATGCCGGCCGCCACGGCAACGGCGACCAACGCGAGACCAGTCGACACACTCGACGATGGCTTCGGGGTTGTCGTCGGCGCCGCAGTCGTGGTGTCGCTCTTGCACCGGAGCGCCGCCAAGTCGGCCGCCGTGAAGTTGTTTGCCAACCCCGGGTGCGACGCAATCGTTGTGTTGGGCGTCGTCACGTTGACGTTCCACGTGCAGCACGGGTCCTGGAGCTCTTCGCCGTTCGTGGCGCCGTCTCCGTCCGAGTCGTTGCGACACAATTCGACGGTCCACGCATGCCCCGCCGCCGCGAACGCAAGTCCAAACGGTCCTCGTGGACCACCTCCGTTGGTGAAGTTGATGTGCCCGGGGGTTTTCACGCCGGGGATGTTCTTGCCGTTCGGGATCAGGAGCAAATACTTGGAATACGCGGCCACTTGCGTGGCAACTCCAAGAAGTACAATCAGGGTCGATTTCATTGCTGTGGGTAAATTGGAAATGTCTCATTTGCGCTGCTTTCACACTCTAAAAATACTGCGCCTCCATCTTGAGTGTGGAGGCGTTCACATGTCGATCAGTACGATGGATGCCACGGGTAACGCGCTACTTAATTTTAGATAGTCACGTCCGTAGACTCGCTCATCTCCAGACCAAGCTGATGTCGGTCTATTGCGCGCAACGTTGCAAGGTGTGAGCTCGACGGCCGACTTCGGCGACTCGATGCATAGGCATTACCGGTATTGCACCGATGCACTTTCATGTTTCATCCAAGCCGAATGTCACTTCTTTCCTGTGCTGGGCGTCATGTCGGCTCCTTAACTACTTACCAAACCACTACCGTCGACCCAACCCTAGTGATACAATGTCCACCTTGAAGGAACCACCGGGATGTGCTTGCTGGAGCACCAGGGTGCCTTCCACTCCAACACTTCCTCCGTGGCGCCGTGGCGTTTCCATATGACGGACTGCACGTCCGTTTGATGGCCAACTCGCTGCACACGCATGGGATGTCGCGAAGCGTCGTCTGGTGGACTACGCAGGTCAAAATAGACGCCACATGTCATGGTTGGTTCTCAAGTTAATTCCTGGACAATCTAGTAATACTACTGAGCAATCTCGACATCAGCGGCGACAAAGCAATGTCATTGGATAAAAGTGGATCGAATGGAACCAATCCATGACGACAAAATGGCTGGTGTCCACCACTATCGTACGAGACAGTCATAAAATCATCTAATTGCATGATATTAAACCCAAGTTTTATTTCCAATACTTGAGACAAGCTTCCTCGGGTGAAGACGAATAAAATATCGCCCATCTTTTTTATACGTGCTCCCATCGGCCACGTTTGCACCAGTCATTGCGTGGGCCGGTTGCCCGCCAGCCACCGCCGATGGCATTGCGAAACTTGCTCTGCCGCGTGCATGTGCCTGCCGAAAGACTACGATGCGACACAGCTCCCTCTACTGAACAACCGTGAGGAAATGCTGCAATCCGGAATCACTATATTGCACCACTGAGTCTTTTGCGTTTGCATGTTGTGTGTCGATTAGTGTTGTTGCGATGATGCAAATCTTGGACTGAGGCTTGAACCAACTAGCCGTGAAGTTAAGATATACACTATCACCCATAAAATGAGCAACGTGACCGTGTGTGTGTGTGTGCAAAGGGGCATGATGTCAACTACTTTGGTCCGTGTTCTTGATTCACATCTATTTGTGATGATTTCATCTCAAAGTGCTTACCCTTTGCCGCGCCTTCATGTCGACCGAGCGCGTGGCTCGCGCTGCTTCTTCATACTCCACGCTGGCAATCTTTTTGGCCCCGCTGCAAAGTTGGTCCTTATTGTAATTGGCCCCAGTACTTTTTTCAGAAGCAAAACCATCGAGCGATTCCTACGGATGCGGCGGGTGTGTGACGTCCTGCCGTATCAACAATGTCTTGCCGACATCTCTAGTCGTGTGTTGTAGCGTCTTGCATGCGTGTATTGAGCCGAGATTACAATCTATGCACCACACTGAATGCAATTACCCTTGCATCGTCGTGTTGAGAGCACACCTGTGTTTATGAGCTCACGTGTATTCCATCTGCATGTGCGTGCGTTCAAGAGAGATGAGACTTCGATGGATTCCCCTTCACGACCTCTGATGATGAAGATCCGTTAGATATCTGACTTGTGCGCTTGCTTGGACTGTGTGCCTGGGACGCAAGGATTATTGTTTTTACAGACCTGTTCTGAACTCCAATGTGGAATCATAACATGCATCACCATATGAGCGATCCCATCCTTCTTTCCGTGTTCGTGCTGTGTGTGTTTTGTGGTCGTCGTTGCCCCGGGAGTCGGTGGGTCTGCCACTGATCAACGAGCGAAATGGAACCCTCCTTTGGAAACGAGGGCGATGCCTGTGAGTTGGATTTTGGCAGGGTTTCTAGAGCGCGGTATCGCCCCAATGCATCTAGTCGTGCCATTCATGTTGGGACGTGTGTCTTTCGAGGACAATGATGAAACCAAACACCTCCTAAACTCAACCATGTTGATTTCAATTCTGTGTTATCATCCTGAATCCTTGACCGACCTACCAACATGTTCACCCGATTGTGTCGACCGTAAGACAGCTTGTAACCAGACTGAATGCAACCGCTCGTTCATGTGGCAACGGGAGCCATGTCTTCGAGGGCGTCGCTGTCCTGCCTCACACATATCTAGTGTACTGCCGTGATCTTGGCGGGGGAGGACCCTCCCTGCGTCCACTCTCACCGCAGATTGGGCCATGCCCATTTTGCATACGTTGGGTTCCGGTTGTCTCTGTGCTGTAGCACCGAGTCCGTCGCGGACGAATCATGGTCAACACAAGCGATGGGGCTGGAGCATCGTTGGGGGAAGCGAGTGGATGGGATCGGAGCAGATGCCACGACAGTTGTGCCAGGATGGATATGCGCCGAATTCGACGACGTCCGTAAATTGTGGGGTAGGAGTTACAGATTCCACGTGATCTCGTGTGAAAGGTCACGTCCGTCGCCGGCCATGATCGATGACGACTTGAAGTACGAGCCCTGCACCATCCACGATAGGGTCGTGTGACGTGGACTCGCGTAGGGAGCGCTATCGGCACGTATGGGCGTCCCTGGAAAAGGAGGAGAAGGCGGTGCGTGCGTTTCCCCGAGCCACTCGACTGACGACATGGATCTCTCATCGTGGTTGTGGCATGTAGCTGGCTTTGGAGAAGAAGAGCCTGAGCGACGAGTGGATCGTGATCGAAAAGTGCCAACAGTGTTACGAGAAGGACAGGGCGACGTACGTCGGACCCCATGTCCCATGGCCGTCGTCATTGGATCCGTGGACTGCCGTAGGTTTGAAGCGATGGTGCGCGCAAAGTTTGAGTTCCTGCCCGACGACGACGTCGTTCAGTTCAACATTGGCGGCAAAGTACGTCCGGCCTCCATCTCGACGCGACTCCGCACTCTCAACGCTTACGTCCGCTCTGCCCAGCTATTCAAGTCCACTGTGAAGGTGTGGACGCGCGACCGGTTCTCGATCCTGGCCCAGTTGTGCACGACCATGCCCAAGCTCAGTCGCGACGGCCGCGGCCACTTTTACTTTGATCGGGACTGGTGGATCTTCAAGTACATTTACGCGTTCCTGCGGGACAAAACGCTGCCGCACTCGCTCGATGTCCTCCGTGACTTGTACGGTGTGCTGCCGTCCATCCATTTGAACGACCCGCGTCTAGGTACTACGAAGCATCGTACTACCGCATCACGCTCCTGCGCCATGCCATCGAAGCGTATTTGAAGAACCAAACGAGTGGCCACGAAGCAGCCAAAGTCCACCACGCGTTTGTATCGTCCGACGAAATCTACCGTCTCCCGCATGGAACCACTCCAACGATGACGGAGCAGGAGTGGGCGATGAAGCGGCCACCTGACTCAAGCACTGCTGCATCCGAATGCAAACCTGTGCGCAGGCCGTCGATGACGAAAGGTAAAGAGCCCGAGCTTCGAGCGCCGCCGCATGTCCACCCATTCCGCCACGAAGAGACAAAAAGCCGACTAAACACGCACGTCCAGCCGCCGTACACTTTGCCGCACTACGACCAGCCACCGTACGATCCAGCTCTGGACTTTCTCGATCGACGACACCACTCCAACCACACCCATTTCCCCCATCATTCGAACCATCGCACGTCCGATTACGATTACGACCAGTCGGACCACCGAATGCCTTGTCGGGACGAGGACGACCATCTGCGCCGCAGAGGGGGCAGCTTCGGAGATGAGTATGGACGAGGAAGCGCCCCCCGTCGAGCGCGCGACGGCGACCGATGGCAGCACCCTATGGCCTTTGATTCCCGTCGAGACACGTACAACACTGACAACGACCGAATCCGTGATCGCCATGAAATGCATCATGGTGACTGGGACGTGAAGTGGCATTCGCCGTCTTCCACTATGCATGATCGAAGAAGGTACGAAGTCGACGTGTCTGGTCCGGGACACCACGACAGACGACATCGACATCCCCATAGCGATGGCAATCCAAAAATGGCACACCTGCACGGAGGTACGCCGCTGTCGCCACCTCTAGCCGACCCCCATGGATTCCTCTCCCGACGGAAAATGAGCAGCATGTAATGCAGCACCATCTTGGCATGTTGTACAAAAATTGATGGCTCAGGCAGACTAGTCCGCTATTTTGGAGGGACGTGAATTACGGAGGCGCATCGTGCAACCACCGCTCGTCTACAACACACGGACGTTGAGAGATGCCCAAAGTCCGCCTGACGCACCTGCACTGGGGCGGGATGGTCCTCGACGCATGCCAAGCTTACCCTGTCGACGTCGATCGGATGTGCTGAGTCCAATAAACGGCGATCGAGGTGACCCCAGACACGACATATCCAACGGAGGGATGCTGATCTGTCTTCGCCGCACGGCTAACGGGACTTGTGGAGGCCTTGGACGGTTGTACGGCGGCGAGTCGGGAATGTCCGCGCCCATCTCGTCGCCTCTTCCACCGTTGGAGAATGCTCGACGCTCAACTGCGTGACAAGATTATCATGTGTTTGTTATTCGTGATGGGAGAGGATTACATTGCGCCATCCGGATAAGAGGTAGGTCGCGACCTTTCGAGACACAACCCGACGACAGATGCGCTTCCTCGTACCGGTGGTCGCATAAACGGCATATCCACGATTGCTTCTGGCTCGCCTGCGGCCCCCTAGCATTCCTTCGACATATCGACACAGTCACGATGTGTAACCACGAATCAGTCCACTGGAAACCCCATCGGATGATTTTGACCACCAGAGGCATTCGGCCAGCGAGTCCTCAGTGGCCTTTCACACATTGAGTTGTTATATCATTGTTTGAATCGTGATTAGGTTGAGCGGACGGACTTGCCCAGGTCTAGTTGTG